TTGAAGTTTTCGTGACTGCAAGGATTCATACGCTTTGGTTTTTTCGGTAAAGTCACGTAGGTAAAATAAAATAAAACAACTAAATTAAATCACGACGTTTCGGAGGCAACACAAGCTTCAGTCTTCAGGTGGAACAGTCACAGCAGAATAGCTGTACCAAGGTACAGCTTATGTTTGCATTTTTTTTACAGCTTATGTTTGGATTTTTGTTGTAAGCTATTGGGTGTTGTTTATAAAATTCCATACTTTTTGTTTAGTTTGAGGTTTATTTTTAACAGAATATGTAAAACTGTCACCTGTAGGTGGTGGCTGGTACAAACATTATTTTCATACGGCAAGTGCAAACATTAGCACCAAATGTGTTTAACGAATTCAAAAGTGGTGGCTTAAATACATCCGAATGCCCCCCCCCCCCTACAGCGCCCTAAAAATGCACGATAGGGAGGGGGTGTGTTGGGGTGCAATGTGGTGTGAGCACATTAAAGAGGCGGTGAGAACGTCCTCAGTGTTTGCCCCCCCGCGGTTTTATCACAGCACGCAAATCACAGCACACACCACACACAACACGGCACGGCCATCATAGCACACAGTACGCAACATGGTACACAAATCACAGCACACACACATAACACGGCACGGCCATCACATCACACACCACACAGTACGCAACATGGTACACAAATCACAGCACACACCACACAGTACGCAACATGGTACACAAATCACAGCACACACCACACACACAACACGGCACGGCCATCACATCACACACCACACAGTACGCAACATGGTACACAAATCACAGCACACACCACACAGTACGCAACATGGTACACAAATCACAGCACACACCACACAGTACGTGCACGTCACAGAAACACATCACGGAAAATGTAGCACGGACGTGACTCATGGTGCGCGTGGATCCCTGCCACTTAAATGTGTCGTTTGCACCCTGCGAAAGTTGTTAACTTTCATTAATGCAGCCATTCATTAGCCTTAAGTGATACGTTATTCTTGCCGGAGTGTTATTTATAGATGCTATAGGCTTACAATATGTACGGATGTACAGGCGTACAATATATGTGTGTGCAGTGGTTAGCGCACTGCGGTCCAAACCCTGAGCTTACAGTCTGAACATCCTTCAGTTTCACATCCACCGCCCTCTGCGACTTAAATGCTCTCCTCCTTTCTTGCCCACGCGTCCCACCCATCACAGCCTCCTCCGTCTGATAACATCAACAACCCTTTCCTGCCAGTGCCGGATTAAGCTAGTGCGGGGCCTGTAGCATATGTTATAAAGGGGCCCTAAATAATAATCATAATTTTAAAAAAACGTAAATATTAAAACACAAATGTATAACTTGCAGAGTAAAGTGATTGTATTTTTTCGTTTGCTGTAGAGCCAGATAATGCGACAAATCGCTAACCTTAAACACCCAGTCGTTCATAAAAAAAAGTTGAAGGCAGTATAGTACTATAGTAATAGAGCAAGTGCAGAATCGCTCAACCGGAATTGATAGCTTAAAAGCATTTAACGCGGGGCCCTTGAAAGTGCGTGGCCCGTACCTACATATGCAGCTACTTTTGCTACTCGGATAATCCGGCACTGCTTCCTGCTATGTTCTTTTCCTAACCTCCAAGTTTCGTGCACTATGTCGCCATGCCATTCCTGGCCTCCTTCACTTGCACCGACACGCACAAGCTATATGTGTGTATGTACCCTTGTGTACACGTTTATTTGCGAAACACTATATGGCATTTCGATTTAAAGCTTTCGTGACAGCAAGGATTCGTCTTCTTTGGTTCTTTCGGTAAAGTCACGTAGAATGAGAATACAATAATAAATTAATAAAATAAAATAACACAATAAAATTCTCACTCGCGGCATCTCTTTTATTTTATTAATTTGTTATTTTATTATCATTCTACGTGACTTTACTGAAAGAACCAAAGAAGACTATATGGCATATTCTTGGTTCTTTCAGTAAAGACACGTAGATAGAAAATAAAAAAAAAATATTAAATACAAAATAATACATTGAAAAAAATAAAAGCAACTATACGGCGATGGAGTGTCTCACACACTCTCACTTTCTACACAATTACCTGAGCTTATTTACCAGCCACAGCTAACGACATCTGAACAAGTCCTGGGTCCCGTTCCTACCTTCATTAGCCCGCACTCACCAGCGTGGTGAAGTATAGTCAAACAACTCCCACGAGAAGTACAGCTTGAGGGTGGGAAGGCAGTTTATTGACAACGGGCTGCCAATTATACGTTGAAATGTAGTGTATCGGCTTATTATAATTTTGTAGTCCGTAATTTATTGCAATATGTTACTATGCAGAATGCATATTCTTGGAGTTAATCAATCATTTTAACTTTTGCATTTATAACTATTGATGATCTGCTGCAGCTAATGACAGTCCCACTTCCCCGCTGTTACAAGACAAATAACAGGCCCTGTTTGCATTTCAGCATTGGTATTTACCGTGTTGATAATTTCACGTTGAAGGGTTGCGCAATCGATTCTCTACAGAGGTTCACTTAGTCACTGCTTGGGAATCACTTGCATCAATGGCCAGTGCTCGCTTATGGTTGGGCTACTGATTAATTGCCACGGAAAACAATTCACGTTTCTACATGGGCTGGTAATTCATTAATTCCAGCAACGTGAGTGCACTTTCATTAAGCTCCGTGTGACGTGCAACTCTTGCGCTCAAGAATTCTCCGTGCTGCTAAGAGTATTTGTCTTGCAAATTCATATTCGTAGAAGGAAGGGACTTTCCAAAGCTCCGTTCCCCATTACTCGCCACGCGATTCCTTTCCACGTTTACCAGTTACGTCCTTTATAATTCAAAACTACATTGTTATACACTGCACGGATCTGAACTATAGCTGAACGTGATGTATGTGACCCTACTTGAGTCCAGATTCAAATTAAGAGTGGGTCTCTGCGTGGCATTGGGGAAGATCTGACGGAAGGAAGGAAGCAATGGAGAGGTGTGGTGGATATTGGACGTGATGACCTCTTTAACTTGAACTTGAGTGGCTCTCCAGTAATGCTAAGTGATGTGTTGTCACTCAGTGGGAGGCCGGAGGAGGGTGGTGCCCTTCATTTGGTGGGGGGGGGGGGGGTGGCGTGCGTGGCATGGCCCCATATATAATTGTCATTGATACAGAGGTCGACAGTATGTGTACCAGGGCATGTTGCTCATCTGTGCCTTCCTGTCCTTTTACACAGCCAGCAAACCCCTGCGTATGCGTTTCAAAACTGGGCTCGGCAGTGCGGTGTCTCCACACCGGGGTTTACACGGGGATTGTTTAGCGTGACCTCGCGGCAGCTCCCCTGCCTCTCCATCCATCCTTGCCCTCTCTATCTCGGCCCCTGCACGTTACCCCGGGTTCCTCCCCTTAATTCTCACGTGGCCGGGAAGACAGACGCGACCCGACACGGGGCTCCAGGAAGCAGCTGAAGAAACAGCCGCGAGAAGAGAATAAAACAGGCAGCAGCGTGCCCCCTCCTGCCCTCCCACGTGCTCCCCCGGGACACTTTCCCCAGTCACCCCGTACTCCCAGGGGAAGTATCCTTCTCCTCCTTAAAAATCTTCCTACACCCGCCCCCCACCCTTCTCTCTTCCATCACTCCCTCCCGTCTGAACAGACCAGGCATTTTCCATTCTCATTGTAGGCTCTCGTCCGTCAGGAAAATGCCCAAACGTGCCCTTCTGTGAATGTTTTAGTGTCACTGCAAGCTGTTTGCTTTGAGAGACAAATAAACAACCAGGCGCCTGAACACAACATTTAATATTTGGGTCGATAGTGAAGAGCTGAACTATAACCTCTTGCCCTTTTCATCACTGCCAAATCACCTTAAATATCCTCCATTTCTGCAGATCTCAGAAGCTAAGCTAGGTGAGCCTGATTACTACTTTGTTGCATGTTTTAATCGGATGTCCCAATTCTGAAAATGTAAGCTGCATATGACTCAATTTGGATCACATATAGCAAGCATTGCCTCAAAGTGAAAACTTATCAAGAAACTCCAAAAAAAGAGTTATTGATGGTCATTGCGGTTTTCCTGAGTCAATAATGAACTGTAAATTTGTTTTTATTTGAATAAACAAAATATAAGATCGTTTTGTAACCATAATTTATTCAAAATCTCCCAGATCTGCATGCCACCCCTATATTGTACCGCATGATGAGATGCAGTTACAACGTTATACACTACAAGTGGGTAGTCCATTGAGATGTAATGGCTTTCACTCAACAAGATCATGAGTATGTTGTGTCAATGAATCAGATGTAGTTTGAATGCTGATGACATACACTGTAGTTTATGATTTTTTTTCATGTCACCTTTGATCCTAGAATTCAGCGAATTGTTGGGATTACTCATTGGAATTGGTGGAGCGGTTAAGAAGTCATCTGGACGTGAATACATATTTTCTGCTTACGAATATATAAGTAAGACGAATATAAGTGAGACATTATTACGTAAGTTAGGGGTTGTTGAACAATAACCATTAAACTGGTCACCATTGTCATACTCCATTTCCGTTTCTAAAAGTTGGAGAACCGCCAACCGTTTCCAGTTGAACTTTCGAAACGAATCTGCTGATTTGGCACGCGTGCGCGCGAACGTACTCACACAGCACGGCGGCTTAAGTCGCCGTGTCGTCCATGTGCCTTCTCGTTTCTCAGCTAAAAGGTGACGCTGCAGCACTGCAATCGCTCGGGCGGCGACGTGGCCTCGTGATAGGACGTCCGCGATTGTCGCAGAGGTTCACGGGCTCTGATCCGGCGGCCGCGCTGAACTATTGTTTGTGGTCACAGGTAGATTCTGAAAAAGAAGTTAATACCTCAATGGAATTTTCCCGGTAGGGTGGGGATGGTTTAGGTTTATTTGTGTGTTTTTTGGGTGATTTGTTTTCCGTTCTTGTACTTTGCACGACTATCATGTTTGTTTGTTATTGTTTGTTCTTGTAACGTTCTTTCCCGCCTCTACTGGACATCTGTGAAAAAGAGCTTTATAGCTCATCGGATTCCTCCAGTATAAACAAATATTCTGATTAGTGATGTGTGTATAATCACCTTCATGATGTGTGCCGTCTTCTTCACAGTGGACGGTCAAGATCCCCTGACGTTATTCGCAAGATGAGGCCATTGTGTTCCGGGCATAAGGATCCAAATTTGCCAAATTTTGTAAGTTACCCGAAATTATTCAATTGAGATTATATACAGCGATATTCGCCCCTTTCTGACAGACTAATGCTCTAAATCACTCTTGCAATTGAAAAAAATAATAATACTAAACTAGTTTTTATTTTACTAGGTAAGGCTCACTGAGCTATAGAGCTCTTGTCAGAAGGGAGCTGGCTTCAAATGATAGTTCAACGAAGTGGTTCATCACGTGGAAATGTATAGCAGCCAAATACTCTAAACTCGTGTTTCTAAATGTGGCGGTGAAAAACCTAAAGACCCGGAGAAAAATCCACGCGGCCCACGAAGAGAAAATGCAATCTCAAAATTAGACTATGCTGGTCCCTTGAGTTCTCACCTGGTTACACAAGATAAACTTGACATTTGTTAACTCGCTTGCTTGTTTCCCACCAGCGGTAGCTCTATAGGGAGCTGTGAAAGAGGTGTGTGTACCCACACTTTACCCACCGCACACGACCTGCCCATTGGCGATCGATCGTGGACCATTTATACTCCCGGGGGGGGACAGAAGCGGGGAAGGGAATTAAAAAAAAAACCCACAATGTTTTTTTCAACTGCAATGCTGGGAGATTAAATTTAATTGTCAACCTCTGGATTGCAAGTCCATTGTGCTAGCGGTTGCAACAGGCAAACATGGTAAGCACGTTACGTTCGTTACTATAGACATTATTACACGTGCGGCGAACTGAAAACCGTCTTCACCATTTCCTTTCAATTCGGTTAATGAACCCACTATTAACCGTGCGATGTAAATTCAAGGCGTGTTCACTGCCACTTGTTTGTGTGGCCAGCGCGGTCGTGGTGGTGAATCCCCAACACGTCCCTTTGTGTTGCGCCCCCGCCCCACCCCTCCTGAAGGATTTTTGTTTCTTTTTTTTGCTGCTGATGGAAGTTTCATGGGATGCTTGCCTCCAGCAAGGCAATCTATTTGCTGCGCATTCTATAGCCCAGCGGCCAGCAATGTTTCTGATTTTTTTTATATATATAACCTGACCCCTGCTCTTTGTAGGGGTCATGTCATTGTTCGCTCGTTGTTTGCGGTGCGTTATTGACAATCACGGACATTGGAAACGCTTGGTAATTAAAGACATGGCAACTAAGCGCGTGTGGCAGTCGACGGATATTCTGCGTTTCCTCGACTGTACGGACGACGCTTCATGTGTGGCGTCGGTCGCGAGGATCGGGCGCTTATTCAAGGCAGGTGTCCATTTGCTTCGCCACGCCTGCAAGGAAGTGTGGTTTATGACAGCGATTTTATTATAAGCGATGTAGTTATTAACCCCCGGCGATTCCATCAATCGCCGCGCGTCCGCGTCTCGAAATGCAAACCTTGGAGTGATCGTTAATGTAGCGGCCACCAGTGGCTGTGGGGGTTATGCGAACGCATCACAAACGACAATACAAAGTTTAAAACATCGATTCCTACACGCGTGACTTAAGTGGGCATATCGTGAGCTTGCTTAATCGATATTAATTTACGAATTAGTACGCCTCATTATGTTTGGTATGCATTCTATGTGTGCTTTGCCTGTAGCAGAGGCGAAGCTATCGAGTGTGCAGGCGGTGCAACTGCACCGGTGTCTATGGGCTGGAGAGGCCCAGATGCCGGGCTATGGAGATTGGGAGCGGCATTGAATAGGGGTCCCACATTTCACCAGGGCCAATGCCAATCATTGCACGCCACTGTCCTGTAGTGCATATACACAAATCAAACATTACATACCGTGTATGCAAAATGTAGCGTGTTTGCTAAGGTAGTGCAGACTTAAACTGTATACACTGACTGTGTCATGTATGCAGATTCTGGCTGACCCGGAAGGTCTGCGGTCCGATTTTTAATGTTTCCCGTTTGAGTTTCTTAGGAGAGAAAGGCATTTTAAGTTGACGTTTGATATAGCTCTCGTTGGAGTGTCTCTGTGAAGCCGACTCCTGGGATGCACCGCTATGAACTTTTATTTTTATCTTCAAGCCGGGCTGCATTACGCAAATCTGTGACTCGTTGGTAAGACTTCTCACCAGGTTGTCCAGGATCATTTATCATCTGATGCATTATGGGGTTTTATTTTACGTATTAAACATTGTCTTTTGTGGTAAACAGTGCGTGTTCCATAGTTGGCGTGGGCCCCGGTGCAATTAATTACAAGGTCGCACTCAATTGCACACAAAGTGCTTGCCACCAATTAAGCACAATACCTCGCTGATCTCGTCAAGGAGCATAAAGCATCACGCGAGCTCTGGTCATCTTCGCAGTGGCTTTTGACAAACCATCAAACAAAGACGGTCACTGCATCGCGCGCTTTCAGATGCGATTCTGCGGCCGTCTGGAGCCGCTCTTCCTGCCCATATTAGGAAGCCACTGGAGCTATGCACTTTTAAATCTGGATTGAAAACGAATTTATTTGGAACAGGTTGTTGTGTTGTCCTCCCGTACCTCCAATTAGTGCTGTGATACAAGTCCAACATGCATACATACAACATACATGCTAATTCCCCCCCCCTCTCTCTCTTTGTATCCTGGCGCCTTTGGCCCGTGAGCCCTGGTGCAGTTGAATCGACTGCACACTCGGTAGTTACGCCACTAATGCTAGAAAGCACCAAAACGTGTCCAAGATGGTGTCGTCCATTATTAAATAATTACAGCGGATTGAACTGTGTGGTTCAAATATTGGCAACGTATTTATTATACACTTGAGTTTTTAAAGTGGGAAATATTGAGTGGTCTTCACAAGCACATCACAGGAGCATTTAAAACAATCTCACCCAAGATGTTGGCAAAGACCTGGGTCTCGATGTGTGAAACCAACGCTCCGTAGGAGACATGGAGATTTTTCGAGGAATATTACTGTCTTACGATAAAATATTCACCCTACCAAGTGTATATATATTGTTTTATAGATCTGACTCAAGCTGCTGTCTAATTGCAGTTATTTAAGAGTCGATTATACCTTCACGTTGCACCCTGAATTTTACATTTATGATGAATAGCTTCCGAGATGCATGTGACAGTTGCACATTTTTATTGAGTAAATCTTCGAATCGTGTTTTTTTGTACTCAAAGCTTAACCTTTATTCCTGCATTAAATTGCTCGAGCATTAGCTGAAACACAAGATGGGGGGGGGGGGGTATGCCCATTTCACTATTTTTTCTACGTAGCAGATGTTGCAATGATGGAGCCTGCGCACAGCTCCACCACAGATTGATGATGCTATTCTGTTCCATTACAGGACAGTAATGCGTTTCTTGCAGCAAAGTTTGAGACGGCCTTTGAGCTGGACAGCTCAGGTCTGGGTTAAGTGCTTCACAATGTGTTTTGTAAGCCTACATTTCTATGTGTGGCTATATATAGAACATATGTAATGCCTTTTGGTTGGTGGAGCGGTGATACGGTGATTAGCGCACTGCACTACGAACCCAGCGACCTGAGTACGATTCCCAGCCGCGGCTAACATTATTTGCGAGTGATATCTGAACTGGCTTGGGGCTCCCACTTCACCAGCCTTGCACTAACCAGCATGGCAAAGTATGGTCTAACGAGGCACATTGCCGACACTGTGTGGGGAAGTTATCAAAAAGCTGCGGATTGACAAAGCTCTGAACTCGTAATCATAATAATCATTACGCAACGCATTCGCCGTGTCAAAATTAAACCTAGAGAAAACTATACGTACATATTGCTGTTCGTTTCACTGCAGCACATATGCCCATTTTTGGATGTAAAAAAGTCCCAACATATCACCTATCGTCCGCACGATCCCGTTGGCATTTAAACAATGTCATATCGGCTCACTCATCAATTTAAAAATTGCAATGAAAGCCCCTTCAGCATTCCTTCAGGGTAAGCTGTGTAAGACAAATTAAAAAGTGACCCCACACGCACACACCATATACACTAAACCTCGTGCATCCGCTTATATGAATTTGACATCCGTGAAGTGTATTTTCTGGCCAGTGTTGAGACTGCTGCAGGCCACAGTCACGTTTCTGTCTGCTCGTTGTTGAGGCCTTGACGTGGTGCTATACTCGTCTCTGGTTGGCTAGCTGGTTAGACTTGGGCTCAGGTTAGGAATCGTCTGGTTGGTAAGGGTTCAGGCTAGTACCAGGGGCTAGTTAGTTGGGGTTGGGGTAGGGCTAATCTAGTGGCTGGTTGGCTAGTTATGGAATTGGCTAGTACTAGTGGATAGTTGTTTAGAGTTGGTGAAGGGCTAGTACTGGTGGTTGGTTGGCTAATTATGGTATTGGCTAGTACTTGTGGCTAGTTGGTTAGAGTTGGTGTAGGGCTAGTCTCGTGGCTGGTTGGCTAGTTATGGTATTGACTAGTACTAGTGGCTAGTTGGTTAAAGTTGGAGGTAGGGCTAGTTGGCTAGTTGTGGTATTGGCTAGTACTAGTGGCTAGTTGGTTAGAGTTGGAGGTAGGGCTAGTACTACTGGCTGGTTAGCTAGTTATGGTATTGGCTAGTACTAGTGGCTAGTTAGTTAGAGTTGGAGGTAGGGCTAATCTCGTGGCTGATTGTCTAGCTGGTCAGGGTTAGAGCTAGTCCAAGTGGTTAGTTAGTTGGGGGTCGGGCGAATAGTGTTTGGATAGTCGGTTCGGGTGAGGGCTTGTACTGGTGTCTTTAGCTATTTGGCTAGAGTTGGGCCAGAGGTTGACTCGGGCTAGGGTAGAACGAGTACTCGTGTCGTGTTTGTCTGCCCGGTTTGGCTATGGATACCGAGCGCGCACCACAACCTCGCAAACTCTTCTCGCCTCTCTCCCTCCCGTGTCTCTCTGTCCCTCTCTCTCTCTGCGCTCTTCCTGCACCGCGAGTCCAAAACGCAAAGCCGCTCGCTCGCCCGACCGCTGGGCCGGCAGGAGGGGGCGCTCCAACGAAAGCTCCTCTCGGCACAAAGGAGGAGGAAGAGGTGGAGGAGTAGGCGGCTGTACAAGGTATGCTAGGGGGGTGCCGGCCGGGGGTGGTGTGCGGAGGGAGGGGCCGAGGTGCTGCGCTGTAAAGGCGAGGAGGGTCTGCCAGGAGTGCGAGTCTGAAGGAGGCAACGGGAACGCAGTGCGGGGCTGAGACAGCTGGAGACGCCAGTGGAGGGTGTTTTTTATATTTAATCCGCGCGTTTGTTTTCAATGCGCGTTTTGTTTTACATCGTGCAGATAAACAAGGCGGTGCCGTGCGAGTGGCACACGCGCTCAACTGCCCGAGACGAGTGAGGGCTGGAGTTGTGAGTAGTTGTAGTTGGGTGCATGAATTAGCGCAGGCTGTTCAAGTGAGACGGGGTGGGGACCTTTTTGGAGGTCGTACGCGAGACGTCTCAGTCCCGTAACGCGGCACATCTTGTGAGCGAGGCGGGACAAGCGACAACAAACAACAACAAAAAACACCGAAACCAGACACGGTGATGTGTTCGCGATAAACGTGTAGGCAGTGGGCTGTTCAAATCTAATACGCGTGTGTGTGTGTTTAGTTGGGGCAATTCAGCCAACAGCAGCAGCAGGGGCACCATTTGGTCCCGGAGTCAACTGGAGTTGAGTTTTTTTTTAAGGGGGGGGGGGCAAAGACGGAGTAGAGGCGTCGGCGACTTGAGAAACACGAGTCAACACCGGCCGCGACAAACACAACACAGACGCGTAAATGTTTTGGTTTCCAGCCACACGGGAGTCGCTGGCGCGGCGGGAGGGTGCTCGCTTCATGTCGCCTCCGCTGTTTGCTCGGGGAGGGCCCTTGTCGGCCACTGGGATCCCAGACCCCACAGACGAATAGGAGAGAGGGAGAAGAGAACGACGTCCCCCCCCACCTGCCCCTAACCTCGGTTGCCAGCGGTGGCGACAGCAGCTCGGGGAGTGGCGACTGCAGTCTAACCACGGGATCGGCGTTCATGTTGCGTTGCATAGCGTGTCGTGTTATAGAACAACACGGAAAAAGTTTTAAAAGGCCACGCGTTGAGACTTCCACACATCGGCAGCTCTTTATTGAAGCCACCAAGTTTGCTTCTTGAACCTGCGAGAGCCTCCTTGACCGAGTCTACAAGCGGCCTCTTGATTGAACCTGTAAGTTCATCCTTGAGCCCTACAAGCTGCTGCTTGAGCGCTCACAAGTATATTTTTTATTGAGCCTTCAAGGACATTATTGACTGGATCTCCAGGCTCCACATTGATCGAACCAGCAAACTGCCTCTTGAACCTACCTACTAATTCCTACGTGACTTAGGTCTCCAAGGTCACCCTTGACTGAACCTGCAAGTTCCTCTATCATCGAACCGACAAGAAGCTGCTCTTTTATTAAGCCTACAGTTACCCTGCTCCAGAAGTCGTAAATCGTCCCCTACAGAACAACCTGGAGGAGAAGAACCTGTAGGACCTGTAGGAGAAGAACCTGTGGTGCCTGCGAACCCAACGAGTTCTTTGACCACGCTCTTTGAGATGATTGCGCGTGTTCTCTTGCAAGCCATTGCGCTGGGCCACGTGCTCGCAGCGTCCGACCTCCTGGATGGTGAGTGCTCAAATAGTTGCATCACGGTACCGTTTACTTTTTACAGTTCATTTTTCAATCCACTGTTGGATAATTTTGTGTTGTTTGACCGTACTTCACCGCGCTTGTCAGCGAAGGGCTCTGGATACCACGACCAGTGCAGATGTAGCTCGTCATTGATGTTAGCCGTGGCAGTGAATCGAACTCCGGTGTCTGGGTTCATCGCGTGGCATGCTAACCACTGCGTCACCGTTCCCCCATTCATTAACGTTGCGCTTCTTCAACGCAGATCAATGTCTCGATCGTGTTTTGTCGATGATTGCCGCGCAGCTGTTTCAATTTCACGCCGCATTTTCAATGAATACGTGATGCAGTCTCATCATCATCAACCTTGATCCACTGCTGGATTAAAGCGTCGCGATCATGCTATGCAACAATCCGTCTAGCTCTTGAATGCTAGTCGATTTTATTTAATCGCTCCGTCTTCGCGATGGCTGTACTTTTGTGCGTGTTCTATCCTTTGGCTGCTACTCCATTATGAGTCTCGACCACTGGCCATCATTTCATCTAGCGACGCGTCCAGCCCAAGCCCAGTCATGTTTCTTTACAGACCACATGATGCATCTCTCTCGATGTATACACATTTGGACGCCACGTGACAAAAGTGAAGAACGTTTTGTTATAACGCACTTAAGATTAATAGTTGTGTTTTAAAAATAGGCCGAATAATGTACGGCTATTTGTCAGTCCATTACTGGATGAAAGCCTCCTCAAGCCATGTCAGTCGATCCTAGGTAATGTTTGAGCATGCTTCACCGCGCTGGTCAATGATGAGTTGAAGTGGGAGGGACTCCAATTGAGGTATTTAGTTTCAAAGTGCAGTGGTGATCCACCGATCCACCCCGGGTTTTATATTTTGTATCGATATAGCACGTCATTTGGTGTATGTTTGTATGTTGAACTTCTTACTGTGCTAACCGGAGGTGTTCATGTGAGGTTCTATGAATCTCCGCTTCTTTATAGCTGAGTGCAACACGAGTGGCTAAGTTATTCGGACAGGAAATCCCATACATCAAGTGCCAAGATTTTAATTCGCCAGATCCCAGTGCTCGTTTACAGGAATTCCTGTCATATACGGAGACAACGACGGAAATAGGAGCGGGCGATGGGCAATATTATTCCGCTGCTTACGCATCCTTTTTCCTTATGTAAGCTGTCAAACACAGTGAGCCTGGGGATGCAGTATTCATGATGCGCATCGCAGTCTGGACTTGGGTAAAGGCTACGGAACACGGTATCTTGGAATATGTTAGACTTGGACAGGAGATGGAATGAAATTGAATTGAACATTCATTTTACGGCTCGCCCCTGCCACTGTCTGTTCAGGTTCACACCTGGTAAAATAAATGTGAACCATTAAATTGGAATGTTCTAAGCCAAACAAAAATATAGGATGTATTTTGAACTTTCATTCACGGGGTAGATGAATTAATGGTTATAGCGTCACTGAAATCAAAATAAAGGAAACTCAAAGCACAGAACCTTCTTTCTGTGGAGCTGCAGGAATGTGGTAATTTAAAGAGAGGGAGTGCTGAAACGGTCTGTGGAAATATGAGGAACGTTTAGAAAGGTAGACAGGAAAAGTGTGTTTATGCAAGAGCAAAGCTTTGTATATGTGTGCAGTGCACGGGCACAGACTCGTGCTTTGAGTCCAGCGTGTGTCGGAGCTGGGTTCAATAAGCATGCGCAGTCCACTGCAGCTGCACACGTGCGGTTTAATCCGGACGATGTGTATAGTTCTGTGCATCCGCCAGCATCATCCTCATCATCAGCCATGGTAAATCCACTGCTGGACGAAAGCCTCCCCAAGTCGCCGCCTATTTTCGTGATCCTGAGATCTAATAATGCAGCTTAATCCTTCTGCACACAAGATAATTTCCATCTCCTTAGTGGATATCCTTTAAGATGCATTCCGTTCCTCGGCTGCCACTCCGTGATTGCCCAAATCCCACTTACTTTCCTTACAGTTTAAATTGAGTCTTTCGTGTGGGTATGATTTTTGTATCCATGCATTCCTCTATCTGCCTTAATGTAATTTCCAATCATGCACTTTACCACGTTAATATGAAGGACCTTGATTGAATGTGCAGGCATGGGCCGTGGCAGTCTGCCCCAGCGGACACACTCTTCCATATTCTAAATAGAATTACCCCATGCAGAGTTGGGAAATTCATAACGTGCAGCAAACATTTCTTGGTATTCTTATCGTTGGTGATCTATCCATAAACACACAGTGGTCTACGACTTTTAGATCCTGAACTGGTTTTTCCGACCTTAATCATACAAAAAAATCACCATAACCTTGACTCTCTAACCCTTGCTATGGTATGTCACCAGTAGATCTCCTTAAAGAGATATACTCTGTTCCTGCGACACGTACAACTCTATAGCCAAGCTATTAACACCTGATGGTCTAAGGATTTATTGACAGGAACGAGGGGTTTATTGTTTTCATCCTCATGCAAAATGATGGTAATTAATATTTCGTTGACCATATTGAAGATGAAATTTGAAGCAAACTAGCCACCTTCATCGTGAACACTGCCTTATAAAAGAAATCAATTATGTAGCAGACTGATGTTTCAGGGAGTGGCATTTTTTTGAGAGCAGACCAAGAGTAGAGATTGGGCGACTGACTGCCTTATTGTTGGGATCACACTTCACACTCTGGGATGCCCTGAAAGAAAGGGACATTTGATTAACATTGCCCTATGGACATTTACAAAAAACGCTATTCATTCGTTCGATGATGACTTGCGAAAACGATGATGACCGTGACATAATCATGATTACCTCAACACACCCAACACTTTACATATACCGTAGATAAATGCATCAATCTGCAGCTACGATAACAATGGCAGTGAGGACGACGATAATGATGGCAGCAACACAATACTATTCACTTGAACGTACCAAGGTGTCGCATTGCAACACGCTGGCCCCACCACCAGCTGACCTATGCCCTCCCCTCGCCTTCCTCCAGCAGGCCGCCGCCCTCCACCCCCTGGCAGGGCGCAAGGCGAGGAGGCGCGAGCGGGCCCGGCGTGCGGGGGCGAGCTGGTGGTGCAGAGACCCGGCTACCTGGCCTCCACCGGCTTCCCCGAGGACTACCCGCCCATGCAGCGCTGCGAGTGGCTGCTGCGGGCCGCCGGGCCCGGCCAGCGCCTCGCCCTGGCATTCAACCCGCACTTCGACATCGAGAAGCACGACTGCAGGTGCAGGGACCCCCCCCCCAATCCCCGCCGAAGGCGACAGTCGTTTAGAGGCATTACGGGGGCTGCGCGTTGTTCAGGGCGTGTAATTGTTCATTTATCCAGCGGATCAATCAACTGCCGGGCAGGTACCATTTTGTCAGAGGCGACGGAGGGATGTTGTGAAGCGCTCCTGGGGAACCGTGGTTTTGTGGAATTACAGGCGGGGACGATTTTAGTGAGCCCATTCGTTCCTCTCGACGATTCATTGACTTGATGGGCAATGGGCCGCTCTTCAGAGTAGAGAGAGTGGACGTTGAGAAGCATGAGTGCAAGTGCAGAGCTTATGCCGGCGATGATGGTTGTTTATCGAAATTGCAAGGGACTGCATTTTGTTGGAGCCTGTAATGATCCGTTCTCCCAGTCCTTATATTTATTTTCAGGCCTCTCCACCGTCAGGGTCAAAATTCCATCAGAGAAATGCGTTCTTATTGTTTTTGTCTCACTTCATACCATCTGGTTTTGCGATGTTTCCCATTTTTGCATCTCATTTCTACAGTGCCGTTCAATCGGTTAAGCTAAATGTAGCATCTTGACGATTGCATATGATTTACACAAATAGTAAACAATCGATTGGTCCAGAGACACATTTTGTATCGTGAGTGCAAGTTTCGCTGCCAACCTCTGTCGTGACATGTGCTGTCAGTACTTCATTCTGGTCGTCACTTCATGTCGATCACGGATGCGGATGTTTTCTGAATTTATAACGCGGGCAACGGTCGTCACAGGTGGCATTGGTAGGTCCCCTTTTTTAACATGCATAAAATTTTAACAGTTTCGTGTAAGTTGGAATGTGTTAAAATTATGTTAAGTGTTAAAATTATGACTGTACCAGAGTTTTTTGGTTTTTGCACATATCCGTGAAAAGTTTGTTGATTAGTTTGTGTTCAAGTTTTGTTTTAACCTGTACGTGTTCACTTTCCCTCGCCTCCGATTAGCGCGGTTGCCTACGTATGGTGCGAAAGAAGTTCAACATACATTCATACAAAAATAAATGTATATCATTGGACTCTCACCTGGTTTTAAAAGCGAGTTCATTGTGATGTTGATGATGTTGATGATGAAAGATTCATGCCCTCGTCACTAGAAATTCAACATGGTATAGACACGTGGACCATGACCCTTTAGTGGATAGTAAGAGGTCCCATTGCCTGAAACTTTACAGGATGATACCGACCAACGGGTCACCGTGCTGCCTGTCAGTGAGCCAGCTACGGAGGGCTCAACTTTTCAATCCCTGGAACTTTCGGTAAAATGTCGGAGGATCGCAATCGCAGCTGTTGCACTTGTGAATGGTACGCAGCATGTACCGTCACTCATGATGGCACGTTAGTTGTACGCACGGATGCCAACTTTTAAATCTACCTTTTTAAATGTTGTGTCAAACCACTACTGGATGAGGGACTCCCCATGCCGTGTGGGTCATGGAGGTTATTTTAGCATACTTCGCCGTGCTCGTTCGTGCAGGCTACTGAAAACGCGGAGCATAGCCGTAGCACCATAGAAGTGCAGTACATCAATGGATTGTGGTTGATACATAAACAAACAGACTACGGTCTGTTTTTCTGCGTGAAAACTAAATCATTTAATGCATCAGTCCAAGCTCTATGGCCCGACCCTTTCTTGCAGGATTTGTTTGAGCAGGCAACTCTGAACCGGTGTTGACTTTCTGAGTCTCATCAGCAGATTAGGGCGGGCCCATTAAACAAAGGCAGCTGCTGATGGACTTAATTGTTCCTGTAATTTTTACGTTGACAGACAAGATGCTCGTCGGTTGTCAACATTTTAAAATCACCCACTCGCCACTCAAAGCGCATGCCACATCAATAACCGTCCGCCATGTGTCTGCAGTAAATGCAAGTTCCCCTTGCCAAAGGGAGAATGCATCGGGACGCGGCTTGCACCCCGTTGCAACAACGGGGCGCGTTCGCCGAGTAGCATCGGCCCCTTGTAGATAACTTAACGCACACAGCTCCCTCCGCCGCCGCCGCCGCCGCTTAATACGTGCGGGGCGGCCGAGAGAGATTTACGAAGCGGGACACATTGTTCCCGTGGGTCGCCTCGCTGGGGTTGGCTGGGGGGGCGGGGGGTGCGAAAAATCAGTCGGGGCCACGAGTCAACATCTGGATTAGCCCCGTGCTGCGGGGTCCTTCCCACTCAACTCCCCGCAACCCTGCCGCCCTCCCTCGCGCTTATCCCGAATGCGAGCGGTCGCTCAGAGAAAAAGTTGCTTTTTTACCACCACCACCACTACTACTACTGTGGTTCTGTGTAGTTTTATAGACTTTCTCTAAAAACATATTGTCTTAAATCGATTAGTCGATTTTTTGTGTATGTGTATGTGTGTATCTGTGTGTGTGTGTATGTTCGAAACAATACATTTGTTTCATTGTTATCGTTGTTATCGTCGTCGGCAGCCATGGTCTACCCACTGCTGGATGCAGGCGCTCCTTCCCCAACATCTTTGGCATCCCTCACGACCGTGAGCTGTCAAAATCCATCCCACCCCTCCACTCGAGCTGATCTGAACTCTTCTCTTTCCACGGCAGTTGTCTCCTCAGGCACGTTCTCTCGTTTTGGCTCGACAATTTATTTCTCCCAATTCTGTCTCCTCTTCAACAAGCCTTCATTTGCCAAACGGAATCTAGAAGGCATCCTGATAGTGCCCAGTGATCCACCGCCCGTCATGGTGCTGCTCGCTTGCAACATTCGTCACCCCAACAGGCTGAGAGCTACATCGGGGATCTTTATCTATTTTCTATGTGTGTGTGTATGTGTGTGGGTATGTGGGGAGCGGTAGTGTAGCGGTTAGCGCGCTGCGCTATGAACCTGGCGACCCGGGTTCGATTCCCGCTCACGGCCAACACCAGTGACGATTATCTGAACCGGTTCGGGGCCTCCCCTAGGTCGACTCAGCCTCAAATGAGTACCTGGTGCGGTGTGTAAACATCGCCACCCACCCCCTCGTGTACCGTTCCGGCCTTCATAGGTGCTCGCTAACAGCACTTGCCCCTACAGTCTGTTAAGGCTATACGGGGGATCTTTGTTGTGTATGTGTGTGTATGTGTGTGTATGTGTGTGTGTGTACTATACATATATGTAGGGAGTTGGGGGAGCAGTAGTGAAGTGGTTAACGCGCTGCGCTACGAACCCGATTACCCGAGTTCGATTCCCGCTCGCGGCCAACACCAGTGACGATTATTTGAACCGGTTCTGCGCCTCCCCTAGGTGGACTCAGCCTCAAATTAGTATTTGTTGCGGTATGTAAACATCGCCATTGGGGAGACAAAGGCGGTTGGGCTTGATGCTGGCCACCCACCCCCTCGTGTTCTGTTCCGGCCTTCATCGGTGCTGCTCGCTAACAGCGCTTGCCTCTATAGTCTATTAAGGCTATACGGGCGGTCTTTGTCTTTGTTTATATGTTGGGAGTAGTGGTGCACTTCCCTGGAGTACAACATTCGTGAGCCGTGTTTGATTCCTGGCCGTGCTTGTCATAGGATTAAAAAAAAACTGAAGGTGGAATGATTGACCCCGAAGCGATTAAATCGTCACAATTTAGGGTGGCAATTTGATCCCGCAATCCGGTCTCGTTTTAACATTTCGCTAAACAGTTGCATCTCTAGTAGCTGCAGGCCTGACTTGGACTATTACAAACAGCATTTATGAAACGAAAAAAAAATATTGATTCTCACACGCAAGATACGATGCACATGTGTGTCGTGATCTTGAAGCATCGATGTGGATTGACGAATCGATGCGTCACCGCACTCCTTGTCCAAAATGAGCAGCTGCTATAGTTGTGGACACCAACACCATGGGAACCTTGCTTGGCAGCTGGGCGCATGTGATGCTGGCCACATATGCTGCCCTGTGCACCGATCTGCCCTTAATAGGTGCTCACGAACAGCTTGCGACTCTATAATCTATAGGGATAAACAGGATAGATTTTTATTTCTTTCCATACCTATGTATACACAACGCTTGACGGTCCAAGGATTTCAAAGCGCTTGCATGCACACCGTATACCAGCCCCAGGGCCACGTGAATCCTGCAAGTACACTGCACCCGGTCCCCGTTGCATGGTCGACTTTTGTGGGATAGCATTGGCACTCGCTTTATTGTGAGTTCCACCAGGAGATGACCGTACAGCAGTCTGTTCGTGAATCTGTGCGTGCAGAGTTGGCCGTTACCGCCCTTGGGTTCTCTCCAGGTGCTCTGGTTTCTCCCCACGTGATAAACGCCCATGAGGGAATTGGCCAAATATCATAGTCGATGGACACGGTCGAGGCTTTCCTGTTTAATCAGAAGGTATTTTTGCTTGGATATTACAGGTGCTATAGGCTGTTTTAGGGATATAATTACGGGCAGCAGAGGGCATTGCGTTAAAATCCATTGTTGTATGGGAGTCGTATGCTCTCGTGCCTATGCTCTGGAAAGGTGCGGTCAAAAAGCATGGCGAAGGGGAGGCTGTCATTCAGCAGTGGATGGACAAATGGGCTATAAATGTTGCACATGCACATCATTACTTATTATCGCTTTGTGTGTGCGTGACCACGTACAGGTTTGACTACGTGGAGGTTCGGGACGGCGAGGGAGACGCGGCCGAAGCGATGGGCCGCTTCTGCGGCAGCGTGGCTCCCGCGCCCATTGTGTCCTCGGGGCCGGCCCTGCTCATCCGCTTCGTCTCAGACTACACCAACCAGGGCGCCGGATTCTCCCTGCGCTACGAGATACACAAGTCGGGTGAGCAGTCTCGCCGTCCGTCTGTCTGTCTCTCTGTCTCTGTTGACTCAGCCCACTTGCCTGACCTAACGCTCTCATCTGACTGTACGACCCTCCATGCTTTCTCCTACCTCTCGCATCTCATCTCATTCTGCTCTCACGGTAAAATGTCGTCACACAGCACCCACGGCCGACGCGAGATGGGCAGGCCTTCATCGAGCAGTACATTGACAAAGGGCTGTACATTGTTGTTGTTATAAAACAAAAACGAGCACGCCGTACATTTAAAAAAAATACACACAGGACCACGTGGTGGTGTGGTACAGTTGAATTGGTGTCTCTACTCAAAGCTGCACTGCTGGTAAAGTGGCTAAAATATGCGCTCGCACGACCACCTATGAAGTCTGGCACCGTGCCCACGTCCACTTCCCAATTTTTTAGATTTCCCTGTGATCTCCGCATTCAAAGCTCGGAACAGCAGAGAGAACCGGGGACCAAAGGTCCCGCATCATCCATCACCCCATCACACCGTGCCGTCAAACTGCCCAATATATATTTTGGCAGAGAATCACAAAGCGATGCTTACAGCAAGAGCAACTCACAGGACGCGTGTGTGTATGCGGGGAGCGGTGGCGCAGCGGTCAGCGCGCTGCGCTACAAACATAGCGACCCGAGTTCGAATCCCACTCACGGCCAACACCAGTGATATATATCTGAACCGGTCCTGGGCCTCCCCTAGGTTCACTGAAATGAGTACCTGGTGCAGTGCGTAAACATCGCCACTGGGGAGACAAAGGCGGCCGGACATGGTTGCTGGCCACCCACCCCTCGTGTACCGCGCAGGCCTTCGTAGGTGCTCGCTTAACAGCACTTGGCCCAAAAGTCTGATGAGCCGTTAAGGGGGATCTTTGTCTTTGTATGTGCGCCGCACCGATTTGAAACGTGGAGCTCTCTACAGCTGCCGTTTGCAATCTTTCATTTTTAGATTGGTGCAGTACAACTTTAATTGGCTCCCAGGATGTCGTCGTCAGCGGGTAAATGCAGGGTACTGCTAAATGTGTAATTAGCAGTGTTTCCTGCATCCTGCGAACAGCGTGGTACATCGACTGTGGCTGTAATCATGCGCCGTGCTTAGCAGGTGTTTCACAGGTGTTTTAATGCTCTTTCGCGTGGCTGGTAACTCTGCGAAAAATACGAAAATATGTTAAAACAAAATGCCGTTGTCTTTGGATTATGCGACACAAAAGTTTGGGGGTGCATCTTACAATAAGGAAGACGTATTTTTAATCTAGTAGTTCAGAATCAACTTTCGGAAGATGGTCTTCCACTGAGATGCTCGACCACCCAGAGGACGGAAGACACCAGCGATTCAAATTTATTTTCCTGAAGACATCTTTCGACAATTTAAAGCGGCATGTTTATATTAATTGTCTGGAAAACGACTCTCCATAGTACTGTTTTCTCCACATTATAAATAGCAATTTGTTAATATTACCTCCGTTTGGAGTGCATCTCACTTTCCAAAGTATCTTATCTGTATTCTTTGGGTCTTTCGGTAAAGCCACGTAGATAGATCAAATAATAAAATAAAAATAACAACACTATCACGACGTTTGGATCGCAACACAAGCAATCGCAACTCAGGTGAGAAATATCACGGGAGAGCTGCTGAGAATATATGGTGGGAGCGCTGCTAAGGTAAGGAGTTGTCAAGGTTTGGGATGGGTGTAGCTCAAGGGTCAGTGGGAGGGGCTAGAGATGAAATTTGCATGTAAATGTAAGATCGGAGAAATCTTGACAAACGAAGCTGTGGGGATGGCCATTGTATTATCAGAGTTTTGGAATGTCAATGTAAGGAGAACACAGAACATGGATTGTTATAAATCTTAGCTTTAGCCTGTGAGCAGTAAATTATTATGTAAGCATGTCGGAAAAAGAAGTGTATCACATTATAGGCAATGGGCTTTCAACAGAGTACATTAACAAATTTATTCCGAATAAGGGATATTGTTTGAAATTTTCTGTAAGTGTGATTGTATTTTTTCCATGAAATGTAATATCGCTATTGTTTAGTTTTAGAGTGGGTTCGTAATAAAGGCACGTGGGACTGGCATATCTTCTGCCATCGACCACTCTCATGGTGTCAGTGGCCACCCCTGGACATGAGCAAGTCATGAGCCTCAAGTCATGAGATGTGAGGCAGTGGAACCAGGTTCCTGCTTTGACATTTTATGTAATTCACAGTTTACGTCACGTTCTCACGTGCCACATTCTCCAGAAAGCAAATGTTTGTCAGAATGTAGCAAAAGAAAAAAAGTGAAAAGCGGCGCAGTCAGTCTCCTGCCCAACTGCGAACTTCGCCGCAACCACCACTTAGCTTGCCAGCCGCGACGAGACCGGGTCACGTTCATTCACAATGGCGAGCCATCGAACAAAGACGGTCGCTGCACGGCACGCTTTCGGATACGCTTCTGCGGCCGTCTGGAACGCCCTTCCTGCTGATATTAGGAAGCCACTGGAGCTATGCACTTTTTAATCTAGATAGGAAACTCGTATCTAAAAAAAATATTTTATTTCTTTAGCTTGTTGTCCCCCCCCCCCACCCCACCCCCCCGCACCTTCAATTAGCACAATTGGTCACTTGTCTCGTTGTGCTCGGGGGTTTTACTTTTGTGAACCGGGCGCAGGCTCGGACGCGTGCTCGCGCAACCTGACGGGCCCCGTGGGCGTCGTGTCGTCTCCCGGCTTCCCGGACAAGTACCCGCCGTTCCTGGCGTGCACCTACGTGATCCGTGCAGCTCGGGGCGGCGTGGAACTGTCGCTCCGCTTCACGCACTTCCACCTGGAGGGCGCGACGAGGGCCCCGGGGGCCGTGGAGCCCGCGTTGGCGTGCCAGTACGACCGGCTCGAGGTGTGGGACGGCCTGCCGCATGGTGAGGTGGCACGCGGCCGCTTCCCACGTGGTCGTCGTGAAGCTCGCGGCAGAATTGTGTGTGTGTGTGTGCGTGTGTGTGTGTGTGCGTGTGTGTGTGTGTGTGCGTGTGCGTGTGTGTGTGTGTGTGTGTGCGTGTGTGTGTGTGTGTGCGTGTGTGTGTGCGTGTGTGTGTGTGTGTGTGCGTGTGCGTGTGTGCGTGTGTGTGTGTGTGTGTGCGTGTGCGTGTGCGCAGAAGCTTGTGTGTGTGTGTGTATGTGGGGAGCGGTAGTGTAACAGTTATCGCGCTGCGCTGCAGAACCTGGCGACCCGAGTTCGATTCCCACTCACGGCCAACACCCGTGACGATTATCTAAACCGGTGCTGGGCCTCCCCTAGGTCGACTCGGCCTCAAATGAGGACCTGGCGCGGTGTGTAATCATCGCCAATGAGCAGACAATGGCGGTCGGGCGTGGTGCTGTGGCCGCCCACCCCCGCGTGTGCCGTTCCGGCCCTTCATAAGTGCGAGCTAACAACACTTGCCCCAACAGTCTGTTAAGGCTATTTGGGGGATCTTTGTATCTGTATGTGTTGAACCTCTTTTGCACCGTACGTAGCCAGCCGTACTAATCAGAAGTGTGGGGGAAGGTGGATTATACAGCTCCACATCTGTTAGTTAGATTATTGAGATGTTCTTTTGGCTTCCATAAATGTCCACGTGAAAAGCCGTTTCTTTGAGCTGCCATTTGCGGCCGGGTCGCTTCTGAAAAAGAAGCTCGTAGTTCAGTGGGCTTTACCTGGTAAAATAACCCAAAAAAATGTGATTTTCTTACCTTTCCTGTTGTCTTTTTAGTGTAACTTTCTGACCCGCCCCGGCTGGACATCTGTGAAAAAGAGGTTTACAGCTCACCGGATTCCTCCACTATAAATACAGATTCTGTTTCGGTGGAACCCAAATGTCATGCTCTTTCTCTCTCTCTCTCCCCTCCTCCTCTTCCCCCTCATCCCCCTCCTCCCATGTGTTCCTGCCCCAACCACCCCACCCCCTCCCCATTTCATTCTGCTTCCCTAAAGTTGCCTCTCAATTATGTCCGGCGCTTTGAGCTGCGGTTAATTGAATCGAGACTTTTGTTGTCATGATTGCTTGTAAATGTGTCGTTTTGCGTGATGTTCACGTAGGCTTGAGTCTGTGTGTGGTCTCTCTAATGCGGGGATGGAATTTGATAGGACCGTAGATGTACTTCTGTTGAGCCACATGTTTTTTAATTTGGCTTTATGGCAGCACATCGTCATATTGACCGAGGGTCTGTACAGATCTACATCTCCACGTCGTATATCTTTACATACACCTGTGCAGCTCCACATCTGTAATACCCGAAATCTGCAGAGTCCCACATCTTTATACTGTTATACTTGCACGACACCACACCTCTAAAGGCCTGCAGCTTAACTTACGTCTGTACAGCCATATAATTGTACCACCCCTTACCTCTATGAAAAATGCAGTCCATGACGTTAAACATGAGTCCTCGCAAAAATAATTGGAATGCAGCATGTGTTTGTTAGTAGGGGTGCAGGGAGGGACATTGGTGTTTGTTTATGTGTCTCGGTGAGGAGCTCAGTCTTTAAATGCCCCCCATACCCCCCACCCTGATCCTCCATGTATGGTGTGGACCCTGGTGTAGCTGGTGGTGCAGCCGCTTGTGTGCCGAATGTTGTGGCCGGTGGTGTGGTTGGGGGTGTGGTTAATGGTGTGGCCGGTAATGTGGCTGGTATTGTGGTCTGATGTTGTTGTGGTCTGATGTTGTAGCCGCTCATGTGGCCGATGTTGTGGCCAGTAGTGTGGCTGATCTAGCCATTGGAGTGGCCGATGTTGTGGCCGGTTGTGTGGCTGATCTAGCCATTGGAGTGGCTGATGTTGTGGTTGGGGGTGTGGCTGTACTAGCCATTGGAGTGGCTGATGTTGTGGCCGGGGGTGTGGCTGATCTAGCCATTGGAGTGGCTGATGTTGTGGTTGGGGGTGTGGCTGATCTAGCCATTGGAGTGGCTGATGTTGTGGCCGGTTGTGTGGCTGATCTAGCCATTGGAGTGGCTGATGTTGTGGTTGGGGGTGTGGCTGATCTAGCCATTGGAGTGGCTGATGTGGCCGGGGGTGTGGCTGATCTAGCCATTGGAGTGGCTGATGTTGTGGCCGGTTGTGTGGCTGATCTAGCCATTGGAGTGGCTGATGTTGTGGTTGGGGGTGTGGCTGATCTAGCCATTGGAGTGGCTGATGTGGCCGGGGGTGTGGCTGATCTGGCCATTGGAGTGGCTGATGTTGTGGCCGGTTGTGTGGCTGATCTAGCCATTGGAGTGGCTGATGTTGTGGTTGGGGGTGTGGCTGTACTAGCCATTGGAGTGGCTGATGTTGTGGCCGGGGGTGTGGCTGATCTAGCCATTGGAGTGGCTGATGTTGTGGCCAGTAGTGTGGCTGATCTAGCCATTGGAGTGGCTGATGTTGTGGCCGGGGGTGTGGCTGATCTAGCCATTGGAGTGGCTGATGTTGTGGCCAGGGGTGTGGCTGATCTAGCCATTGGAGTGGCTGATGTTGTGGCCGGTTGTGTGGCTGATCTAGCCATTGGAGTGGCTGATGTTGTGACCGGGGGTGTGGCTGATCTAGCCATTGGAGTGGCTGATGTTGTGGCCGGGGGGGTGGCTGATCTAGCCATTGGAGTGGCTGATGTTGTGGCCGAGGGTGTGGCTGATCTAGCCATTGGAGTGGCTGATGTTGTGGCCAGGGGTGTGGCTGGTCTAGCCATTGGAGTGGCTGATGTTGTGGCCGGTTGTGTGGCTGATCTAGCCATTGGAGTGGCTGATGTTGTGACCGGGGGTGTGGCTGGTCTAGCCATTGGAGTGGCTGATGTTGTGGCCGGGGGGGGGCTGATCTAGCCATTGGAGTGGCTGATGTTGTGGCCGAGGGTGTGGCTGATCTAGCCATTGGAGTGGCTGATGTTGTGGCCGGGGGTGTGGTTGATCTAGCCATTGGAGTGGCTGATGTTGTGGCCGGGGGTGTGGCTGATCTAGCCATTGGAGTGGCTGATGTTGTGGCCGGGGGTGTGGCTGATCTAGCCATTGGAGTGGCTTATGTTGTGGCCGGGGGTGTGGCTGATCTAGCCATTGGAGTGGCTGATGATGTGGCCGGGGGTGTGGCTGATCTAGCCATTGGAGTGGCTGATGATGTGGCCGGGGGTGTGGCTGATCTAGCCATTGGAGTGGCTGATGTTGTGGCTGGGGGTGTGGCTGATCTAGCCATTGGAGTGGCTGATGTTGTGGCCGGGGGTGTGGCTGATCTAGCCATTGGAGTGGCTGATGTTGTGGCCGGAGGTGTGGCTGATCTAGCCATTGGAGTGGCTGATGTTGTGGCCAGGGGTGTGGCTGATCTAGCCATTGGAGTGGCTGATGTTGTGGCCGGGGGTGTGGCTGATCTAGCCATTGGAGTGGCTGATGTTGTGACCGGGGGTGTGGCTGATCTAGCCATTGGAGTGGCTGATGTTGTGGCCGGGGGTGTGGCTGATCTAGCCATTGGAGTGGCTGATGTTGTGGCCGGGGGTGTGGCTGATCTAGCCATTGGAGTGGCTGATGTTGTGGCCGGGGGTGTGGCTGATCTAGCCATTGGAGTGGCTGATGTTGTGGCCGGTTGTGTGGCTGATCTAGCCATTGGAGTGGCTTATGTTGTGGCCGGGGGTGTGGCTGATCTAGCCATTGGAGTGGCTGATGTTGTGGCCGGGGGTGTGGTTGCTGCCCACAGTGGGGCTGCTGGTGGGGCGCTTCTGTGGGACGCGCTCCCCGGGGCTCGTGCGCTCCTCCACGGGGATCCTCTCGCTCTCCTTCTACACGGACGCCGAGGTGGCGCGCGACGGCTTCTCCGCCTCCTACACCACCTCCCGCCGCAACGTCACCCGCCAGGGTACGGCGCGCGACGGGATCGAGCCGATGTAAAACCGAAACGCGCGCGCGCGACGGAAACGTGTCAACGAAACTCAAACTAAAAAAAGTGCCGTCCGCGGTATGGTAGAACCAGACGGGAAGGCGCAGGACCAAGGACACGCAATGTCACCCACGACGGTACAGCGCTCAACGAGGCAGGATGGCACGGCTGTAACGAACCACACCACTCCACGAAGCGGTGGACAGGGAAAACGATCCGACACTAACCTAGAACAAAGCGAGTGTGCGGCGCTATCATCATATTTTAAAGAACCACTATCAAACATATTCATATTCATGGTTCTTTCGGTAAAGTCACCTTAGAAGGGAAACAATAATAATACAGTTCAGCGGCTCACGATTTTTAATATTTCCCACCTAAAACAATGGTAAACACGTGTAGCAATAAAAAAAAAACAATGAAAACTAACACGATAAGAGTGCGAAGCACTCGTTCCGGGGAATATTCAAATCTAAGATCTCTCACCCGGAAATCTCCGAAAAGCTGTGATATCACTGCCCAAACATCTGCACAAATACACCTTTGACCCGTTTGCAGGGCTGTGAGGGGAGGGGCGATTCTTTGGAACGAGAGAGAAAAAAAAACAAATATCCCAGCCAAATTCAGGAGAGTAACGGGGGAAGGGGAGGGGGTCACGATTAGCTGCGGGTGGGGGCTGGGGGGTTGGGGTTGAGGTGCGAATGCGGCGGTGAGCTCGGCCTCACCGCAACATCCTCGGCAGCATTGAGGTTAGTCGGCACAATAACAAATCATCGTGCAGACACAGATGGAGCTGGGGTCGCCGCGTGTGCACGCTCGGTCTACCCACTCGAGCGGAGTCTACAGCAGCCACAGGCCAAGCACGCGCGAAACGCAGACGGTCAGATCCGCTCATTGATTCCATTTGGCTCACTCTGGGTCATTATTCACATCCCATTTGCCTCGATCCTTTGTTTTGCCGAGTTTCCAAATTCACTTCTTTTTTTAATTAAAAAACGGTAGCCATTTGTTTGAATAAAAAAATACTTGCAAGATTGATAGGATGGATATCAATGTTTTATGTCTTTCCACATTTTTTAATCTGCTCTCAAACAGGATGAAAATGCACGTATACTTTATATTTTGTCAGATAAATGCATTTAGGGCCCAGTGAATAAGTTTCAAGCCTAAATAAGCTTACACTTGATGTTCCATCTAATCACAGGCTGTTATGATCAGGATGCTTCAGTAAAAACAATGTATAAACTACATCCCACAAAAGCCAGTCGTGACCGATAAAGGGCAACAAACAAATTCAGGGCAATTCTGTTCCAAATACGTTCAATTGTTGCTCCTACTTTTCAGTGTTAACGCAGCGGGTTACAGTACAAAAAAGCCTGTCATTACAATTGTAGAATTCCAGGTTAGGCCACATATTGAGAATATATCTTCTCTCAAGGTTTATCATGAACTCTTTTTCTCGATGCCAGCAGTAAAGCGTGGTGAAAGCTTTAGAGAAGAAACGCTCAGCACGCGACCTCAGCCGGAAGACCACACTTAGGATTTACATGCGGCTGCGTAAGCCTTCGTGCCAAGAGCCTTCTATAGTTATGATTACGTTTAATGAGTCTGTTATATATTTTTTTACTTACAAGTTCTTTTGAAGCGTGTGGCTACTTTATTATCCTCCGTCGATCTCATCCAGACCGCCATGGGGAGGGGGCGTGCATGCGGCCGCTGGGCATGGAGTCGGGCGAGATCCTCGACGAGCAGATTTCGGCGTCGCCGGGTTTCTACGCGGAGCAGTGGCGCGCGGAGCAAACGCGGCTGCACCGCGCCGGCGCGGCGTGCATCCACGCCCCGACGGAATCCGCGCGAGAGTGGCTCCAGGTAACGCGACCTGAGCTGCGTTGCAGATGTGTCCGTCCGAGTTAACGACCCGGAAGATATTTTCGCACCCGGCACACCGCGTCGGGGACACTCGTGGCTGTGGCTACTCGGGGTGCCCACGGTAAGGCGAGATGTTAACTACCTCGCCTGGTATGCAAGAGGTCGTATGTTCAATCCAGATCCCGATGCCTGTATATATTTGGAGCTTGCATGTTCTCCCCGTGGTCATGTGGATCTTACTCTGGGTCCTCTGGTTTTTCCCTACACATTTAGAAACATGCGTTTAGAGTATTTGGCTGCTGTAAATATCCACATGATCCACCACATTGTTGAGCTATCATCTTTGGCCAGGTGGCTTCTGAAAAAGAGCAATATAGCTCAGTGGGCCTTGACCTTGTAAAATAAAAGAAATGTTTTATATATCTTTTTTTAGTTTAGTTCTTTACATGCCTACTCCAGCCGACTGATAATTTCCTCACCCGACACAACAGACTGCCGCTGCATCCTGGGCGACTGGGCAGCAGGGCAGCCGAAAGAATATGCGCTGTCTGCTTCACGGTGGACGGTAGAGATCCTGTGACGCCATTCGCAAGAGTAGGTCATTGTGTGTCGGCATGTTTTTGTTGCAAAGTTGGCAACAATGTAAAAATTGACCCGTAAATTATTCCACTGCAAGATACATAGCCAATAATCGCCCCCTGCTGAGGAAAACTTGGCAGGACCCTCCTCACCGAGTCTTGAGACTCAGCGAGGTTTTCCATGGGTTAAACAAGCGTGATAATAATCATAGATGGCAGTGCAGCAGTGGATTCTATATAACTCCCACATGTGCGGTGGGTTTTCTCAGGGTGCTCCAGTTTCCTTCCACTTGAAGCCAAATAGCCACTCATTTCACTGGCCAAACATCCCAATGCAGGATCCTCCTGATAAAGTCATTAGGCTTTCCTTAGTAAATAAAGGCCATTGTTATTATTATTGACGACTTCCCTTTGCCATGTTTATCTTACATGTATATAATTATATAATTGCTGACTGCTCTTTCCCCATTTAAATATTCCTCTCTTTTTACCGAAGTTAATTGGTGATGACACCTTCCCGCATCGTCAGTTGCACTTCGAGACAAATCATCGCTGTGGGTGATCTCACGGTACAAACAGACGCGCAGACGTAACCCGGGCCTCTGGAGGGCAGCAACAACTGATTTCGTTGCTTGGTTTTTGCTCAGGTTGTAGATAGAAGGGCGTCACCTGTAACCGCACGAAAGAAAACGATAAAAAAAACTGCTCACCGGTTTGTCGATCATCCACGAAATGTCTAGAAATGAACGTAACATGTTTACCTGCCATGGTGTAATGATTGGCACACTTCTGGACTTGTAATCCAGAAAGGCAGTTGAAACAATGGGGCAAGTTTCTTCATTCCGCACCCCGCCCCCCCCTTCTGTCCAACCCATCTTTATAAATGAACGCACCACAGTTTTTGTTTTTGAGTTTCAGTTTTCAGTTTCATGTATTAGGTATAGCCGTGTGAGCCATGCGGCTCTTGACTCGGGTGTAACCGCAACAAACATAAACATTAACAAAGAACATCTTAAAGTGACTATGCGCAACAGACAAATCCAGGAAAAAATAGCAAAGTCTTCCATAAATAAAAACACCGTATATCAACGCTGTGTGCAAAAATCCCAGCGGGATGCAAGTCAAACAATAACAACCATAAGACAATCTAGATCAAAGTTATCAGGCTGACTCTGTACTTCAACAAACAAACATGGCTAAACCATACGTTTAGCCACGTTTAATTGTTAATTGATCGGCAGCTCGGCGTGCGGTGGGATAAAGTGTTGGGACCGCCGATCTCTTCCCAGACACCTGTTCCGTGTGGAAGAGTAGGCACTGCCGGCAGTGGTTTGAGAAAAGCATTTGCAGGGTTGCCCCTTTTAAATTTTTAACTGAGAATCGAGGGCAAACATATCACGTGGTGATCTTAGGCCGCCGTGCTGTTTGTAGATTCGCGTGAGCCGATCGGTACATTTGTTACAAAAACCTCACCCAACACGATTACCGGTGCCTGCCTTTCGGAACTGGTAACTGATTCGGGAAACGGTTATTGTTTTACTAATTTACCAGTTGTCATCAAACAAGCAGAGTGGACGAGGTGTGTATAGCATATTTACCAAAAATCTCTGAGAACAATGGAACATTCAGGGTCTACTAATCCCACGATCACACTCATGAATTTGTGTTTGAGCATTAGCTGCAGAGACTTTCTGTTCTCTCCAGGGGTTGTAAATGAAAATGCTTGCTGCGCCGATTACTTTTTCCGTCCCTTTTATTGTAGAGCAGAACTGTTTATACTCGGTATACATACTGTCCTGGTTGAATTGCATTGGGGGGGAGCGGTGGCGCAGTGGTGAGTGCACGCCATTATAAACCTGGCGATGTGAGTTTCATATCCAGCCACGGTTATTAACACCAGCGGCAAGTGATATATCAACTGAGCCTGGGCCACCCCCTTCATCAACCACACTGACCAGAATGGTAAAATATGGTCAAATGACTCCCATGACCAACACGGAGTGGGGTACTTTTCATCCACAGCGGACTGACAAAAAGTCTGCATGAAAATCTCATTTACCTAAATTTTTCTTCACATCGCCACAAACAGGGTAATCATTTTGATTTAAAGCTTTCGTGACTGCAGTAATTCATATTCTTAGCTTTTTCGGTAAAGTCACGTTGAACGTGACTTTACCGAAAGAGCTAAGATATAGGGTAATCATTGCTTAATGCTCGGCACACTAACACAATTGCAATGCCAATTGGAAAGTTGCTGTCATACATTTGGAGCCATTTCCTTCAGCTTAAAAGGCAGGCATTTTTTTCAAGTATTTTTCGTTTCTTTAACGGGAATTTTTTTTTTTGCCCACGTCTGTGTCAGATTGTGAATGGCAGCGTAAGCCAAGGCACACACGTGTACGCTACTACACACACCGCAAGCCCCCTTCCAACAATCTGAACTTCACAAGAGAGCTGAAACCTTAGCCCGACTGCCGGGCGTGCGTGCGTGTGCCGTGACTCTCTGCCGTGACGGGAGCTCCGCGCTCGCTTACACAAGCGTAGGTGCCTCGCATGTGGAAAAGCCGGCCTGGAGTGTCGAGTTTCTGTAAGAAAGTTTGCACATTTTTTTAAATAGTTGTATTATTTGACGACAAAAAATTCTCTCTTTTTTTGTACGGCACAATGCCACACATGTAACAAAAGAGTCTCAAACGGCAAAGGGTTTTGATGCACGCATTCTGGGTTGATAAAATCAGCGTCACCGGCACCTGACGTAGAGAAATGAAATCGATTAAAAAAAAATTGGGCCCTACAAGGCCGGGCTCAGACAACGCAACACGTGCTCCTGAAAAGCACTCGTCAGCCAAAAGAAGAGGGACGTTCTGGTTTTGGCCAACAATATATTAATAATTAGCATTACTGTATTACAACTTCGATAACATCATTATTACCGAGGGGTGCGGGGGAGGGAGAAATGAGGTTTAAAAAAAAAACTATAAAAACCTGCTGACCTCTGTCAAGAATCGGCCCGTTGTAATTCGAAGGTTGGAGAAGCTAGGGGAACAAAGGTTGACGAGTTAAGGGAGAGCAACGTTCATGCTGTTGAACTACGGAAATCCACGAGCCGTGCTGTAAACGTCCGGGGCAGAGGCGTCAAGCTTGGAATGAAATCCCTCAGTGGGTGAGGAGGGGTGGGGAGGCATGGGCCGGGTGGAGCGGTGCTAAGTTTTCCAGCGAGTCCGAGAAAACGCGGCGTAAAAACCCGAAAATGTGTCGGCGTGCCTCGCGCGTCCTCCTGGGAGGAGGTCTTATTTTTCTTGGGGTCTCAACGGAGCGGTGGTGATGGGACCTGAGCCCTCATTCCCGATTCTTTCCGCCGAGGTTGAGCAAATTCACAAAGCGCTTTTGTGCGCCCCGGCGCCGCTTCTGAAGTCTGGCCGCTTGGCGAGCGCCCATCGGTCGTGGTCGGTGGTGCCGAGTTCGGTGTCTGCACGGCGCTCGCGCATCCCCTGGCTTCACGTTCGCTGTATTTGGAGCCCGAGGGCACGTCCACATTTCAAACGACGCCGAGGGAAGGGGAAAGGGAAACACGGCGGAGTGTTGGCAGGCAAGTTGTAAACTGCGGTTAGTGTGAGCGTGTGATCAGAGTTATACTTGCCAGCGCCACCGCAAAGCCTTTCAAATTGCTAGAGTTGCCCAAAAAAAAAAAACCTGTTTCATTTACATTTGTGATACTTGCATATTTAAATTAGTTTGTGGGTTAAGGTCTGCCCGAGCCGTAGCCATCGCTTACAGGTCTTGAGAAATAAAAGTGTACCTGAATTAATTGTTCTGTCTCCGTGTGAGACTTGGTCTCAGGTGTGTTCCGTCCTTTGGCTACCACTGCATCATTAGTCTCGTCCACAGTCCATCATCCCTTGGCCAAGGCCATTCCCAACCCCACGACGACTTAAAAATCAATATCATGACTCTTTAACATGAATATATACGGGTTAGGGGAAAGTGATGGAACAATGGTCAAGATACTGTCACAAACCTGGTTACCAAAGTTTGTTTCCTGGCCATGACTAACATCAATGACAAGCCTACCTTCACCAACCTCCGTTGACTAGCATTGCAAAGTATGGGAGAATGCCTCCATCTCGCACGGAAATGCCGTGAACAAAGCGCAAAGTGTACACCGCGCCAAGAGGGAGCAAAGTTAACGTTTTACCTCGAGGGATACAGCCGTGAGGTAATTCGTCGCCATGTTGGTGTTTTTCTCCAGCGAATCGGAACGCAAAAAAATGTAAACGCCAGCAAAGGTTAAATTTTGTAAGCCATCTGGCTACCATGAGAGATTCGTTCATGAGGCTATCCACATATACAAGCACAGAGACAATTTCAACTGAGAAGATGGATTCTGGCTTAGCAATCATTGGAAAGATTTGATAAACCATTTCAGGTCTTAATTGATTGTTCAGGCTTACAGTGGCTTTCAGACAGCATACATTACATTTTCGTCTCCCCCCTCCTCTTTTCAGAACATAGATGGACTAGCCCTTCTAAATAAACTGCCAAATCACTGCGCGTGGCGCTAACGTTTTTTTTTATAAATAAATAAATACACCGTTTAAAAATAAATAAATTTATGCAAACCGACACACCTGATGACGACCGTTTGTGTTATGGTCGAAACATCGTGAGAATTTTTATTGTTTTATATATACATTTTATTATTTTATTGTTTCCCTTCAACGTGACTTTACCGAAAGAACTAAGAATATGCCAGCAAAGGTTGTGAAGGAGCAGAGCTTCAGGTCCCCGCACACTTCGAGCACTAAGTGCGCTGAGCCTGCCAATGCGGAGCCGCGGACTCCGTGGCCCCATACTCAGATGAGCGATCGCGGACAATTTGTGTCTCCGCACGGCGTCCATTATTCTTTTATGGCCTTAACCCATTAACGAGCATTCGTAAGTCTTTCATTCTTAAGACTAAATACGACACTGTTTTAAAAGTACACAAGTCATGTAAAGTGCATATTATTATTATTTCAGACCTCCGGTATGTTAAAATTTTAATCGAAATACTTTTCAGCAATTTACTAAAAATGTCCATCTTTTTAAAATCTTGAGCGTGCTTGCTTTGGTGGTAAGTAGCCGCATCAAGGTGATCTTTGCGCCGTGGCGCCACTTTGGAGAGGCTGCTGCGAAGGACCACAGGGAGCATCGCGGCTGGATTTAGCCAATTAAAATCAAGAGGCACCCATTGTTGTCAAACCCAGTTAAAGAAGAAACAGCAATCAGAGTCTCTAATTACTGGCATAGGTTTTCGCAGTTGTGCTGTACAGCTTCCTGATGTGTGTTTCGGGCCATAATACGTGCTGTTCAATACGATGTCCAACTTTTCGCTTCACGTGCCGGAAGCTTCTTCCATTCAGTTCCTGAAGAAGACCTTGGCACAGGGGTGCCACGGTGGCGAGATGTTAACTATCATGCCTGGTATACAGGAGGTCGTGGGTTCAATCCCGACCCTGACGCCTGTTGTATATTTGGAGTTTCCATGTGGCCAGGAGATGTTAACTACCTCGCCTGGTATACAGGAGGTCGTGGGTTCGATCCCGACGCCTGTACATGTGGAGTTTGCGTGTTCTCCCCGTGGTCATGTGGATTTTTCTCTGGGTCCTCCGGTTTTTCCCATTAACATTTAGAATCAACGTGTGTTTAGAGTATTTGGTTGCTATAGATTTCCACGTGAAAAGCCGTTTCGTTGAGCTATCATTTGTGGCCAGGTCACTTGTAAAAAATATATAGCTCAGTGGGCCTTCGCCGGTAAAATAAGCAATAATTTAGTTTCGGTTCACTTGGAGTCAAACATTGTGCAGTACAACGCACGGTACGAGTCGAATACACGTGGAGGGCACCGAGCTAACAGTGCAACGATTTAACAAACGGATTGCAGCGTATTGCATTCGATCATCAATCATTCGCTTGCACCTGCTCAGAGCAAATCTGCAGTCTGCGACCGATTTGAAGAAGTTCCCGGCATGTGGAGCGAAATGCGTCGGGACGCCGTGCCGAGCCGCGTGCGGTATGACCCGAAAGCACATCCAAAAGGAGTCTTTGCTCAGGGAAAAAAGACGAATCGTTGCCAGAGCCCGCTTATGAAGGCATCGTTGTAGTAACCGGGGAATTCTGAGAGCCAGTTAAAACAACACCGGCGCACATGATGTATTATTTTCAAACCCAGCTCTCCGTCTTCCTCAGAATGATGGCAAATTTACAATATGGCCGTTGAATCACTGCACCACAAGCTCTGTAGCCTGCTCTTTTTACCCTAATTTAACAAGTGTTCGGCAAACTGTGTATTTTTGGACCGGCCAATTCAACGGAAGCAAGCATGTCTGTGGGTGCGGCAATGAACAGTGTCCTGGTGATTTGATGAGTAGGGGGGCGGTGGTGGTATTTACAGACGTCAGCACCATTCTTAGACATGCATCATCCTCATTACCCATCTATTATTATTTATGTGGCAACAGTGTTGCAGAATGTGCATTGTTTAGTTTTGGAAATTGTAAAGTACTCCAATTAAACGCCTCTCTGTGCTGTGTAGAAGGCCATTGCTAAAAGCATCACTAATCTTACAGCGTTTCTTAATAAGGCAGTGTTGTTGATGGATGTGTTCAGTTTTGTTGTTGTTATTGTACTTGTACAGCTATTAGGCAGATTTTTTTAACTTATTTTTTATGTGGTTACATACACATGCGTCAATCGCCTGTGATTTAAACCTAATTCTCAAGTGTATTATTTCATGGTCTCAGCCTAGTCATCAATGACTGCACAGATAACACCATCACAATAATATGGGATTTTCTCTTAATTTGAAATTACTCTTCAGCAAGGCAGGTGGGAAAGGGATGCCGCCGCAGTGTGTGGCTGTGAAGTCACTCGAAGGGATCTCAGAAGTAGTTCTATGATACCCACTTCCTCGGACAGTTCATTAACACATGGTTCTGCACCACTCCGCGGTCGTTTTGGATTCTGCAGCTCGTGACGTGTTTTAAGTTGGCATATATATAGACTTGTCATATATTGGGGGGGAAAAGACACATGAAGACGAATACCTCATTCCAGTGATAATCGTTGCATCAAGAAAACAAACTGAGGAAAACAAAATCTCAATAGGTAAACTTTTCAACAACTTGCACAAATACAACTCTCAAGGATTAATTTGAACACTTGTACAAAAACAACAACAATAATAATCACCATCATTATTAACCACAGCTCAGGTTACATTTTGATTTAAAGCTTTCGTGACTGCAGGGATTCATATTCTTGAAAACCACAGCAAGAACATTTTTCAAATTTTCTTGCTGTGGTTTTCACACCTGATGATGATTGCTTGTGTTGCAGTCGAAACGTCGTGAGAATTGCGTTGTTTTATATTTTTATTTTATTGTTTCCCTTCTACGTGGTGACTTTGCCCAAAGAACCAAGAATACACAGCTCAGGTTGTTTGTCCGGCTCGGCGCAGTCGGCCCCCGGTGGGATCCGGACAGACGGCTCATGCCCACGATGGCGGCCGGCTAAGCGGGCGCTGTGTTGCCCTGCCGTGTAGGTCGACCTGCGCTTCGTGCGTCTGCTCGGTGCGGTGGCCACGCAGGGAGCGCTGGCGTCTAACTCGACGGGCGTGCCGTGCTTCGTCACGGCCTTCCGGCTCGAGTACAGCACCTCGGGGAGCGACTGGACCGTCTACCGCGACGTCGAGAAGAACAAGGTGGGCGTCAATTTTCGACCCCCTGATCCAAGGGGTTTATTTGAGGCGCGTGCGTCGTCGACGTTCCCTTGTTTAAGAGGTTGGCCGGGTGGCTCAGGGGGTTTAAGCGCTGAGCCAGCTCTACTGACAATCCTGGGTTTGAATTTGGGCTTCTGCCGCCTGTCATTATGCCAGGTTTTCTATTAAGTGTATGCCGAACATGTTTCGCACCGTACGTAGCCAACCGTGCTAATCGGAGGTGCGGGGTGAAGGACAACAAACTTTACACGAAAAATCAGTTCTAAAGAAATTAGTTTTCAATCTAGATTTAAAAGGGCATAGCTCCAGTGGCTTCCTAATATCAGAAGGAAGAGTGTTCCAGACGGCCGCAGAGGCGCATTTGAAACCGCGAGTTGAAAGCTTCAGCTAGGTCAGCGATGACTGCACAAAACAAATATGTTAAATATATGTTAAATGTATGACCCTAGGGTGGATAAAGAGGCTTATAGAACTGACTTGAGCTGTACTTGTTTTAGCGTGTTCTGGGGCTATTCTCTGACACAGGGTGACGCACTACTAGCTGCAAGAGTCCCACTATATCCGCGAGGTAAAATTTTAGAATGCACAAAAAAACGATAAATGAACTGGGAGCCAATGATATTTATTAGATGGAGCCAAGGGCTCTGAATTATTTCCAGTAGCAATCACATTCAGATTATACAGTCATCACACACACACACACACCACGTGCTATACCATGTTACCCGAACGTTAAGTTACGTTCCACCGTGGTGGTTTGAACACGTTTCACCTGTCAAGGCACGTAACGTTGACCCCGCCTAAAAATCCTGTGCGAAATCATCCTCCATCTCTCACGGCTCGTGTCGGATCATTTCCGGTGGCATAGCGTGGGTTGGCATGGATCCTGGTGCAAGGAATGTAATAATGCCTCCCCCGTAGAATTTATCTCGTCCTTCTTCATAGTCCCGGGCCCCTTTTGGCCCGTGGCCCTCGGTGCAGTTGCGCCGTCTGCGCATTTGACAGCTACGCCACCAGCTGCGGCCACCAGCATTGGGAGGCGATGGCCTCTCGGCCCTGCATTTCTCGGTCACGCAAACACCGTGCGGTCGGTACGGTGAATTGAAATCAATAAGGAAAATCGACTGATCAATTGGAGTGAGATGGGTAAATGTCATCGCAGACAGTTCGACCAGACGTAGCTTTAATTGAAAGCCGGGCGGCTTGCACGTGAGAGGTCATTTCTGTTTGATAGCTCAGCCCTTGTGCACCACCAATCACCTCCTCGTGCCTTCGGTTAACCTTTCGTGCGCTCGCGTGCACGTTCCTGCGTGTGAAAATGGGAAAAAAAACCTGACACTGGGCCCAGCGTCTCCTCTGTCTCTCCTCCCCATTTTCTTGCGACGCCTCCTGAAGCACAACCACACGCCGCACTGCAACTTTTTTTATTTATTTTACCCTTGCAGTAAATCACTACGAGCTCCTGTTTAATTGATGCCAGGCGTTCTTATTGCCACTTTACGTTGAATGTTTTTTCGTTAGGGGAAAATGGAATTTGTTTCATAAGGAAGGGGAGAACACATGCCACAAACAATGTTTCGGTTAACCATTTCATTGTGTGCATATGTGTGTGTGTGTGAGAAATAGCGCAGTGGTTAATCAACTGCGGTATGAACCCAGAGCCTTGAATTTTATTCCCACCCATGGTGGCTAATAGCAGTGGAGAGTGATGTCTGAATCGGTCCTGGGCCTCACCGAGGCTGTTGCAGGTAGTCAACCTAGCCAATCTAGCATGTGCTGCTGGCCACACCTCCCCCTGCCCTTCTAAATAAGTGCTCGCTAACGACACTTGCCACCAACAGTCTGATAAAGGCAACGTGGGGAGGTGGAATCATTGTCTCTGTGCACACGAGAGTTACAGTGCAGATGGTGGCATCGCGTGGGGAGGTCCAACCGTAAACAACTACCAAAAGGAAGGAAAAAACCTGAACATTCCATAAATGACTTCACACTTTGTATGTGCGGCGACCGTGCATACGGAGCCGTGAGTCCACGTGGCCGATTGGGGGAGGGGGGGGGGTCTCTCTATGGGATGCCGCATTCTTATGCACCCCTACCCCTCGTGCCCCTCTATCGCTTGCTACCTCACCACAACCACAAACCGCCACCACACTCTGCCCCATGTGCGCCCCCCCCCCGCACCACTCCCGGCTCCCCGCAGGTGATTCAGGGTAACCGCGACGATGGTGGCGTGGCCCTGCACCGCTTTGCAGAGGCCGTGGTGGCGCGGTACGTGCGCGTTAAGCCCGTGCGGTGGCACGGCGGCCTGGGGCTGCGGCTGGAGCTCTACGGCTGTCACATCTCCGGTGAGTGAGCGCCGAGCACTCGCTCGCTCCAACGCTCGCTCGCTCGTGCACTCGCTCACTCGCTCAATCACTCACTCGCTCCCTTTCTCACTCGCTCACTCGCTCGCCCACTCACACACTCACATCTGCCGTGTATGTTTTTTTAATGAGTTTTTTTTTTGTTAAGAGAAAAATCCCTCGCCCTCCCTACGTCCCCTCACTCTCGCTCTCTGTCATTTCCTCTGCTTCTCTGTGTTATTTTTGTATGCCCCTGTGTGTCTACTTGCACAGATTGTTTGGCTGTATGTCTGTCCATCTGTCTGTATTCCTCTGCTTCTCTCCTTTGTTTCTCTGTCTCTCCATCTGTGTGTCCGTGCCTGACGCCGCTCACGTTGGGGTGGCCGCCTCCCCCTGGCATGTTGCACGTTGCTCCGACGTGTTTTCTCCGAGTGCTCCGTATGTATCGACATGCACGCGCGTGCCCGAGTGCCAACACAAGCCTCATCCCATGCGTCCTCCCCCTCTCCCCCCTTTGTTATTTTTTTGTCAACAACCTCCGACGAGGCATGCCATCTGGACATTGGTAAATTATTGTAAAAAAAAAAGTCCTTGCCCTAAACACACGAAGGGGGCATTCGTCCGGTTAATCCTCCTGACCTCTCCCCCTCCCCCTGTACTCCAACCTCACCCGAGAGGCCCCCCACACCCCCCACCCCCAAATAAGTAAATATAAAAATAAATGTCCCTGAGGACTACCCCAGGTGGTTAAATGTTCACTGGTGGCTTTCCGGCGTGAAATTTATATCTCCGTGTCTAAATGTCTGGAATAGAAGCAGACCGGAGCAGAATGCACGTACACGTGCTCACTCGCTAGCTTGCTCGTTTGCTTGCGCTCGTCTATCAGATTCCAGGATCCCCCTCGGGTAGACGTGGAGTGAATGGCGTCTGGGATAATCGGCCCGGACTGCACGCCATCCCGATAAGAGAGACTCGGAGTGACGATGTCTAATGAACCGTCACCGAACAATCGCCATCCAGGGTGCAAATGTAACTTTTTTTATCAGCTATCAGTCAGCCCTTAATTGTTAGCTAAAATGGTTATCGTGAAAATATATGCGAGCAATTGTGCCCGTGCGATTACATTTTCGAACAAATGGCGACGTCAACTGGGAGGCTGATTAAAATTGCCCTTTCACCGACTTTCTTGGGGTTTCATTTACTGATTGTTAACCCTTCACGAATCGGATTTTATTTGAAGCAAGAACAATTTCACCAGCGAGTCGGCGCTTATTTGTCTAACAGCAAATAAGCACCGACGTCCCCACGTGGCAACGTCCTCTTGCGAATCCCTTCGCGAAATTTGGGGGAGGGGGATAGGTCTGTTAGAATTGTTTGTGGATGAACACATGTCAGAACCATTCAGGAAGTCATAGAGGCGTGATGAATTGGCACTGGAACAGATCATTTTCGTTTCCAGGCCTGAGAATATGAAGTTCTTTTTGCTCTTTTTCAAGCGTCGGAAAGTTTTGAAGCCGACGTGAGTGCATGAGCGAGGGACAGTTGAAGAAGAGAAGAAGAAGGGTTAAGAGTGTTCAGTGCAACCAAAAATGTTGGGCATAAGCATCACCGGGATGGGTTTATTCAGACATTCTCTGACAATGTTATCATGTCGTTGCATGCAGCGTGACCTTTAAGTGATTAACTGTTGGCGAAGATGAAGGCTGCAGATGGAATCAATCATGAAGTCATGCATGCCATGCAAGCTTTAATAATGGCTGCCATGACTTGAGGTTGTAACGAAAAGATGGATTAAATCAACAGCCAAGCCCGATAATTTAACATTAACAAAAACATTTCTCCCCAAACTACGCTTAAAAAGCAATTGAATGCGAAATATGTCTAACTTCTTACTGACATTGGTATAGCAGTTAACTATAATTCTTTACAGAACTTTTTAAATCCACTATTTGGATTACAGCCTTCCAGCACCGTAGTTGGTCGTGGAGATTGTTTGACCATACTTCACCGCGCTTGTCAATGCGGGTAGAAAGGAAGGGCTCGGGACCTGTTATTACCGAAACACTTCAGTGAAAAGACAGTATTGTCCTCACGGATGACCTGAAGATGCCAGTGTGAAGCACGTTAATTTTCGACAGCCTTGAGCTGTTTGCTGTATTATGTATTGTAGTGCACTTAGTACCGTAGCTAACAGGGCTTAGCCCTTCTCAAATCTATTCACTGGCTTTAGCGTTCAAGCATGGCGCATGCAGGAGCTGTGCTCGTCAAGATAGCACAAGGTCACCACTACGAGCAGAGCACACGGTCGACCGATTCAATCTTTGTGGCCGTACATTTAACACTTTTTTTGCGGGGGGAGGGGCGACTTTCTGTCCAAAAACAAGAGAGCACTAGGTCAATACAAGCAGGACGCATGGTAGACAGATGCAAATGATTGAACCCATGCGCTTGGGGCTTGTCGGTTGACCACGTGCCCTGCTAGTGGCAACCTTGCGCTGTCACGTTTTAGGATATAAATTTTCACTCCAAAAATAAATTATTTTTAAAACATTTAATTTATTAACAAATGTATTTCAGCCTCCCACCCCACCCCCCCACCCCCCCTAATGAATGTTTTCACCCACCGGCTATGGTGACATGTGGCTCGATTCTGTCACTGACCGCAGGCGTTCATCTGGACAAAACACACACATTTCAGAATGAGTCAGAGTCCAGTCGTGCTTTTGATTCGAGGGAAACCAAAAACACACAAAGAGGTCTTGCTTCACAGATGAGTGTGTCCACGCTTTCTTTAGGGAGAGAGACTTTAGTTCAGCTGTACATCATGATGCACTCGTGATGTCACTGTAATAACATATCAAACGGTATGGGAGCACAATATTCTATTTATGGCAATAACATCACAAGAATGCTATAATAATATGCACGTTCAAGTATAATTTCCATGAAAACCTCAGACTTGGTGTCACACAGCAGTGTCACGCAGCAGTGACTCACAGCCAAGGGAACATATTTACAAAACAAGAGCACTGGGAGGAGCATGCTTGGAATTACACTGAGACAGTGAAAAGAAGGCATGTATCCCATAGCATAGACAATAACAACAACCGCCATTCGCCACTAAGTGGCGGTGACATCACCACGACGCTTGTGCCAGGCCATGTGCACCTCGAGGCCATAACAAAAAAACAATAACACGCAAAGACCGTTCAGAAAAATAAGTGTACACATTGCTCAGAAGGGATGATGGCCAGTGGTTGTGACAAATGACAAGAGTGGCAGCCCAAAGGTGACGAACATGCCCCGAGATCACGACCGCTGCGAAGATGCAGCGAAGAGATCAGCTCGTGCGCACAAGCAAGACGGATTGTTGCGTCGCAGGACTGAGAGAGGTGACGATCATTTTTCGGGGAGGCCTTCATCCAGCAGTTGACAGATCATGGCTGACGATGCTGAATTCCGGAAACTCTCTTAGTGCCGCCCTCTCCACACATCGTCCACTCCACCACGTGGAATTTACGGGGTATTCCCTTCCCCCCCCCCGCTTCGTTGCTGAACGCCGAGCGAGTGAGCGAGCGACGACGGCGGCGACGCTGCCTGTAATGGGATTCGCACGTGTTTGTCCCAGGCGTGTCTTCAGCGCTCGCAGCGCTGCACGGGCCGGCCTCGGTGCACACTGGGGGGCATTGCTGGCTCCCGAAATAAGCAATATCTTTAACCTTCGGTCAAAGGTTAAAACCACATCGCTAATCATCGAATCGACGACATCATAACGTAATGCGCCGACACTGTACTGCATTCGCTGGAGCACCACATATAAATGGGTTTTTTTTTGTTGGATACATTTTTTTTGCCGTATATGCACTTGTATGCATGTAGAATGTTGTGTTTTTTTTGCCTTTTTTCACATTTCAAATTCCAAAAACAGGTGATATCATCTTTAAAATATATATTAAATTGATGGCACCAGCTAAAAAAACAAATATTAATCAGCAATTCGATTTTAAATAGTGTATTATCCATCATAGTATATATCCATCATAGTATACTTTATCCTCTCGTTCACTTTATATTACCCAATAGCCCTTTGAGACAATGAGTCTCTGACACGGGGTATCTGGTATAAATCTCCCCCTCTCTTAACTTCTGTGGCCACGAGCAGGTCCATGGCTCAAGCTCCTTCCATCGCATCTGATCCTACTCGACCCGTTTTCCCCCTCACTACACCACACTCCATATTAGGGTTCTTGAGCCCTAATTAGCCAACATTTTTGGAGGTGGTTTCCCCGATGGCTTCCTCAAAGAGTGTTTTTCGGTAACACTGTCAACGAATGTAGTTGATTGCCATACTCATGATGCCTGGTGTGAATACAAAGAAAACGAAAATAGAGGTGACAGGATTAACATGTTGGCTCATGTGTGATCTATTGTGTCTCAAGTGATGATTTTTCCACTGTGGGAGGAATAAGGCAACAGGCGTTAAACGGGATTTGCTGCTCTTTGACTTCCTGTGGATCGTCTGGCAACCAATGTGTTAATGTGATGTTTTTTTTTTAATGCAGTCATTGGTGACCAACCGGGCTCACGTTATCAACTCACTACACTTGAGAACCCGACTTAATTACGTGTGGTTGAAACCACCGATTCAACCCCAGGATCTCAGCAGATTCCGACTCGGTGTTCTGATAACAAGCGACTAGCCCCTGAACTACCTGGCCACCTTGGGATGAGAAACCAAAATTCTAGTAATGCTCTAGAGTTATAAATATACTCAATTAAATGTTTAACACGTTGACTGGTACGCGACCCACCATGGGTAGTATGGCAATCAAGTTCACGTCTAAAGGGGGTACAAGCTTCTGCGGTAGCACAGGGTTCAATCGGCGTGTGTGTGTGTGTATGCGCACACGTGTGCATGACGGCGAGCGGTTGTGTAGCGATTTGCGCGCTGCGCTTCGAACCTGGCGACCCGCGTTTCATTTCCACTCAGCGCCAGCACCAGTGACGATTATCTGAAACGGTCCTGGGCCTCCCTTAGGTCGACTCAGCTTCAAATGAGTACCTGGTGCGGTGTGTAGTAAACATCGCCACTGGGGAGACGAAGGCGGGCGGGCGTGGTGCTGGCCACCCACCCCGTCGTGCGCCCTTGCCGGCCTTCATAGGTGCTCGCTTAATAGCACTTGCCCCAACAGTCTGCCCGGGCTATCCGGTGGATCTTTGTCTTTGCCCGTAACGGCGCGCCGTGTACGTGCCTCGGCCCCGTCCACCTTTTAGACGCGCCCTGCTCGGAGATGCTGGGTCTGGTGTCGGGCGAGATCGGGGACCGGCAGCTGTCGGCCTCGTCGAGCCGCGACGCGCGCTGGGGGGCCCCGGCCGCGCGCCTGCTGAGCACGCGCTCTGGGTGGGTGCCCGCCAACGTCCAGGCGGGTGGGCAGTGGCTCCAGGTGGGTGCCGCTCTCGCCACCCCCCCCCCCCCACCACGTGTCGGGCCACTCCACCGCTAGCCCTCCCCCCCACGTGTCGGGCCACTCCACCGCTAGCCCTCCCCCCCTCGTGTCGGGCCACTCCACCGCTAGCCCCCCCCCCCCCTCGTGTCGGGCCACTCCACCGCTAGCCCCCCCCCCTCGTGTCGGGCCTCTCCACCGCTAGCCCCCCCCCTTGTGTCGGGCCACTCCACCACTAGCCCCCCCCCCCTCGTGTCGGGCCACTCCACCGCTAGCCCCCCCCCTCTCGTGTCGGGCCACTCCACCGCTAGCCCCCCCCGCTGCCGGACGCTCTCTCCTTTTTCTTTGTCAATTCTATCTGAACAAGTTCTGGTAAATCGCGTAACTGTGAACGGGTTATGTAAATGCGGCGTGCGTTTGGCTGTGCAAGTCTGGAATTAGCACTTCGGAAGCCGATGGGTGCCTATCGGGGCTTAACTTATTTGCATGTTTGCGAATAATCTCTTGGAATTGAAAAGGGTGTGTCCCTAATAGCAACAAGGCACGCTACTAAAATGTTGTTCTTATTGGATAAACACTTCCATTCTTATTTATAGAGCATTAAAACCATCTACAATGATAACAGTCGTTGCCGAAGTTCTAAATACATCTCGGGGGTGGTATAATTCACCCACCTCGCTTCCACCCGGCGAATGAGAATCACAATTAAATCCAATAATCGACTTTTGTTTTTACCATTGGAGTGAATAGTAGCGCCTCTAGTGGCTGCAGGGGTGATGTGAAACCCATTCCATTGAACGTTTACAAATCGAAAAGCATCGATGATATTTACGTTCACAGTCCGATGTGTGTATTTGTGTGAGCTTAATTGAACTCGATTGACGAATTGGTGCATAAAAACGTGATCAAACAAACCCGCAAGGGCGGACGCGCAAGATACCGTCGCGGGTAAACCGTGAGAGACAATGGGAGCAGGGTGGAGGTTTAAGGAGGAATCCGTGACAGAGAAGAAACCAAAGATGAGAGTCGCCAAGATTGACAGAGACGTGAAACAGGAATCGGGTTTTCACGCATTCCGGCCACAATGCACGAGGCGTTAAGATGTTCAAACGCCAAATAGACACCCAATGCAAGGCATCATCAAGTCTGCATTGACCACACGTGCATGTGGTGAAACATGCAAACAAACGTGCTTTGATAATAATGCGTGCATTGACTTGGAAACTGATTGACCTTACACCAGGGCTACAGCCTCCTTTCTACGGCCTTATCTCACCACCGGTGTTAGACCAGAGAACAACACCAAAAAACACAGATTTTGTGCCCATCCATAAGATCGAGTGAACACGTATTCTGAGCATGGGGAAGAGCAGTGCTGCGTGAATTATTAAAACCGACCTAAAATCTTCGTAAAAAATTGAAAATTCTCATGACACTCCCAAAAAGCATGGGCATACGTTGAGGGAGTTCCTAGACCGACAGCAGGGACATGCTAACAGCCGATCTTGACTAAACACATCCCAGCATCCCCCACTTTCCCCTTTCCTCACAAAAACAACCAAGCTGTTCGTAATACATTAATGTAGAGTTTTGTTGCTCTCTTTGCCCTTGGGAGACCCTATATTGGAAGCCACGTTCATTAGGATTAGCTTTGCCTTTGATTTGGACAGATTAGAGTTCAGTTCCGTTTGGATTAATCTTTGTACAAAATCATTGTAGGGTTGTAGAACACGTGAAACCTGCGGCAGATGCCAGGTTCCTTTGCCTGCACACCATCGCTGGCTACCAGACATTAATTGAGCCTTTCTCATCTACAGCCGACGCAGGGTTTGTCCGCAAAATAAATAAATAACATAAATAATTAGAAACACACTCATTGTTGTGGAATTTCCAAAATATCGCAACATAGAAACCCACTGAACAGGAATGATGTGGACACGGTCACATTATTTATAATTAATGATAGTTTTCAACCCCTTGTTACTCCACTGCTAGATGAAGGCCTGTCAATGTTGTATCGAGCATGGTGAGTTCTTTGACTAAACTTCGCTTAATTGGATAGATAATTTTGATTTAAAGCTTTCGTGACTGCAGGGATTCATATTCTAGATTTAAAGCTTTCGTGACTGCTAGGATCCATACTCTTTGGTTCTATTGGGTAAAGTCACGTAGGTGAAAATAAAATAACAAAAAATCACGACGTTTCGGCCACAACACAAGCGGCCTTCATCAGGTGAAGGGACGAGACTGTCTGGAGGACAGCGCTGGAGTGGAAGAAGCCACGCTTAGATCACGACCTTTAAGCTGTGTGAAAAGAAAAAGACCACGCGCCTTGACACAGGAATTGGCATATAATTTAGCATTGACATGGTTCATTGAAATAGCTAAGTTAAAGTATACACATCCGCAGAGGTACCCCTTGACAAAGGAATTAGCGCTGGAGTGGAAGAAGCCACGCTTAGATCACGACCTTTAAGCTGTGTGAGAAGAAAAAGACCACGCACCTTGACAAAGGAATTAGCATATAATTTAGCATTGAAATGGCTCATTGAAATAGCTAAGTTAAAGTATACACATCCGCAAAGGTACCCCTTGACAAAGGAATTAGCATCGAATTTAGCATTGAAATAGCTGAGTGATTAGCTTGTAACTGGTCACAGAAATAGCTATGTTAAAGTTAGAGCATATACATTCACCAAGGCACTTAGTACAAATCAAACAGGAGAATTTAGCGATACACAACCACGCTCAGACATCGGACCTGTGTGCGAGCAAACAAGGTGTTCTGAAAAAGAAATTGGCATAAAAAATAGCATTTGATTGGCGGATTTTAGGAAAGAGGTGGTGTACGTGCCGGTGGACTCGCAGTTTGGCGTGGGGGGGGGGGGAAGGGGGGAGTTTACCTATTGATGGTGTGAAAAGGGGGAATTTATAAGAGCTGCGAAAGTTTGGGGTACCACTACTTGAAAAATATACTGTACCATTGAAATTAGTTTAATGTTTAGTTCGATTTAGAACATCTTTCCAATGGTTGCTTAATTTGAAACCATCCTCTCAGTTGAAATTGTGTCTGTGTTTGTAGATCTGAATTGCTTCATGAACAAATCTCTGATAAAAGCCCGTGGGTTTGCAAAGAACCTTGGTATCGGAGAAAATTATATCGTGATCCCCCACAGCATTGTAACAGTGATCAGCCACGGCAGAAGAAATTGTTTTGCCGTGTTTCAGATTCGTTTTGTTTCCCTTCTACGTGACTTTACCGAAAGAACCAAGAATATGGATAGATAATTTGCATATTTTTAATCGTAATATTTACACAATCAAGAAATAATACTGGGGGTTGAGTAAACGTACTTAATTATTTTCAATTTTCCCAGTTAAACATGTTTTTGAATTGGGCCAGTACTTGGCATATAGATTAATCGAGTTATTACGTTAAAATTATTAATATATTCTTGGTTCTTTCGGTAAAGTCACGTAGAATGGAAATAAAATAATAAAACATGTTTTATTTTTATTATTTTTTTAAAACATGTTTTATTTTTATTATTTTATTTCCATTCTACGTGACTTTACCGAAAGAACCAAGAAGATGAATCCCTGCAGTCACGAAAGCTTTAAATCGAAAATTATTAATATGTTTTGCATACATGCAATGTATTGAATTCTGCACAAAAGAATAATTCATTTACGTTTCGTGTGCGAATTATATGATTCGTGATATGAGTAGCTGACAAATTGTACAAGCCAGAAATACAGTGAGAAGCAACACCAACGAAATGACAAACACAAGCCCAACGAGCAATCCATGTTGTCATCGATTGGCGACCCCATCCTGTGACAATCCATTCGGTCACAAGCTGCGGGCGGGGGGGGGGGGTGGTGACTGAATCGTCGCTGTCATAGTCAGCATGGTGGCAAACACGCTGGCAGGTCACGTGACTCTCACGCGTTCTAGACTCACGCGCGAGTCCCGTGGCTGACGAGTGTGTGTGTGTGTGTGTGCATCTCGTGCCATGGCAACCCCCCCCGTGCAGGTGGACCTGGGGACGACTCGCCAGGTGAGTGGCCTGCTGCTGCAGGGTGCCAAGATCGGCCCCACGAAGCGACGCCGGCCCCCGCTGCGGCTGCCGCTGGAGACCGAAAGCAAAGTGTTTGTGCGCAGCTTCCGCCTCCAGCTCAGCCTCGACGGGGAGAGCTGGGCCGGCGTGCAGGACCCGGCAGGCGCCGACAAGGTGACCTCATCGTCATTGTCGGTGGCATCTTTGCAATCCTCTTGGCCGTCGTCTTGGTTTTCACCTTCGTCATCACTGTTTATTATGATTGCCTTCATCATTAACATCTTGTTCATCTCCACCATTATCACCATCATTGTCTTGTCATCTTCATGTTGAGCCCCAACAGTAGCCACAGGTAGTGCCCCAGTAAGGACGGGGCTATCACTCCGCCCATGAACAATCGCCGAGTATTACATGACCAGAGTTAGTCGCAATTGGTAGGTGGCGCATTGCGGGGTATAGTGTTGGTACTCCGACCTCTTTGATGACGTCTGGCCAGCGTAGGCCCAATATACGCTTTAGTGGGGTTCTCCGGAAGCTCTCACTCGCGGAAGGCCCTCTTCTGCCAGCAGTTCTGTGAGCAAGCAATCGCAGGGCTTGCACCTTCAGTGGGTAGGGAGGCACACGTCCCAGTTTTAATAATTCCACTCAACCCCCCCCCAGACCCTTGGGGCCGTGAGTTGTGGCTGTGCCCCCGCCTCTGCCGGATAAAACCGCGAGTTGGCGCCGACACCTAACACTGGCGGGGCGCTTCAACTCGGAGGCCTCTTGAGTGTAACGCCTCGGCACGCGTTGCAGATTAACTCGCCGACAACGAAGATTAGGCTGAGCGCGGCTGTCCTTTTGAGTCGAGCGGTGGGGTGTCCCCCCCCCCCCCCCCCCCCCCGTACGCCGACAAGTCGTGCGTTAGGCTGAGCAGGGGGCCCATCTAATGAGGGCGGCCATGGCTCTAACGGCCTCTCAGGGGTGCAGGCAGCCAGCTCCGGGGAAACGTTGCGGAGAGATTCATTAATGTGCTTTATTTATTTATTTCCGAAAACGTAAATAGAAATTAACACATTTGCACGGAGACAAGAAACGGAAAAGTATGCAAGGAAGCAGAGAGTGATGCATGCTCAGCATTTCATTGGGAGACACCAAAAAAAAGAGGAAAACGTGGACGAGAAACCATGCAGGTTTAAAGAATAGTTTTGACTGCTAAAAAAGTCATTAGGACACTTAACTCGAAGGGACTATGGCCAGTGGTAATGAAGAGAGGAGATGGAATGATGAAATCGGCTCGTATGCACGTGCTAGGTGGATTTCTTTACATCACAGCTTGGCGACAGCTTGAGGAGCCCTTCATTTAGCATATAATGAGGATGATGATCACATTCCGAGTTCATTCCGTAATCATGATTAATACGCATATAAAAATGTCTTACTTGGCCCAAGACTGCATTGCCAGCAGATATAAAATTACTGTGGGATAAAATGTACCACAGTCATCACTAACAATCATTGTCCTGTGACTGAATAATATATAGTGAGCCAATGTTTTGGGCAGTTGCCCAAACTCCAAGCAAAGTGTTATGCAACAGCACATTTTTAAAAAATATATCCTGACATTATACTTTGCCTAGCAAATTGGTGCAAAATGTTTCTCGTCTTAACTCGAAACCTTTTGAACATTCCCAGATCTTCCCAGGGAATTCCAATGCCGACAAGCCGGAGCTTCGCCAAATAAATGCCACGTTGGCTCGCTTCCTCCGCCTCTTCCCCGAGAAGTGGTCGACCAACGGAATCGGCGTTCGGCTCGAGGTCCTGGGATGCGACGCTCCCGGTAATGGCGAATGCACCGCGAGTGATTTGTCGCTCGCTTTTCCCGGTCGCTCGCGAGAACCCTGCTCGCCACTCATGGCCAAAACCTTAATGCAAACGGACTCCCCGTTCGAACAAAGAGTATATATTCGGAGCGCCAGACGTCACGCCAAACAAACACGTGTGGTGCAAACCTACACACGCATCGGAGAGCTGAAGAATCTATCGTCCCTTGAAAGTGATCCTCTGGTAATAACCGTTATTTGTCATCTGTCGTGCGACTCGGTTGCATAAGCAATCAGCTCGTTATAATTACGCCTAATGATGCTTCCTTAAAATCGAGCGAAAACCATGAAGTTATCTGTGTACTCACTTTCGGCTTTGCCACCTGAGCGCCCGTGCCGATTTCCCACCCCTGAGGCCGAGGCAGTTGGCGGTGTCATGTCAGGTCGTGCACATGCGGGGGGGGGGGGGGGCGCGGTGAATGCGGCGCTGTTGTTGCGAGCGGGGGCTCACGGGCGAGGGCCAAGAGGGCGCCACGCGGCACCGCAACCAGGCGGGGAAGGAAGGTTCCAAACGGAGGTGGAATTTGATCGTGCCTGACCCCCTCGGCCACGACCACTGTGTGGGGGGTTATTTCTCCCTTCCTTCCTACATCTATTAGCTCCTTCCTTTTAATTTCTCCCACCCCCTTCGTGTTCCTCTCACGCTGTTTATTCATTCGACGCCTTCCTTTCCTTGCCGGTATGTTCGCTCGTACTTACATACAGAAAAAAAAAAACAACAACAAAAACGTCCTTCTCGACCTCCATTCGTATTTCCTTTCTGGGGGCAGCAGGGTTCAAGGGAGACGCAATCCACCAATGCTTCTAACCAGGGTTGAGTTGCGTCGATTCCCATTTGCGGAGGCAGCCTCAAGGTAGAGGCGAGTGTTTTGGAGACTACCCTGGAGTGGTAAATATTAGCCGTGTTAACGACGCATCCATTCATCGATTCACATTGTTCCCATTCGCTCGTGCTACATTGGGTCACGTGTCTGAATCAGCTGCTTTTTGATTCGTACATGTTGTACGTATCGCAATTGGTTTACGTAAACCCTGTTGCCACTTGAGGTGCTGTATTCGCCACAACGGGTTCTTGAATTGAATCGTGAACCCCAATTTGTAATAGTTCATCAAATCGCTCACATTGGGTATGTGAGGTAATGAACTGTTACATGGCTTGTCAATAATAATAATGTTTAGCCCTTCGTCAATCCACTGCTAGAGGAAGTCCTACCCACACATGTGTCTATTATAGTCGTCGTTTGACCATACTTCACCTTGCTTGTCAGTGCGCGTTCATGAAGAATGTGCCCAGAACACATTCAGATATCCCAAGCCACAGTTGTTAGCCATGGCTGGGCCGCTCCCAACACTGATCTCTGCCCGTTGCTTAGAAAATAGAATTCTGAAAATCACCAGTGTAAGAGCAGCACAGTTGGCTACGTACAATGCGAAATAAGTTCCACATACACGTGGTAGTCAGGACTCTGGATTCTTGCGCAGATGGCCCTTGCACCAACAAGACCTCTTTTTAAATGATTACACAGTGAAGGTTGACAACCCCACTACCTCGAAGGCTCATTACTCCGCAAGCAGACTGCAGTAACGAGTTCCACGTGCGGAACTTTTCCCCCACCCCCCCCCCCCCGCCCCCGCAGGCACCTCATAAAGTGTGGCCATCAACAATGACTTTTGCAACAGAATTACCAGGTTTCCAGCTCGCTTCACGCGAGATCATTCAACTGTACCCAGTGTGGCCACTGGAAATCCAGGACCAGCTCGGGATTAGATCTAAATAACACGGCACTGTTTAAACCGTCGCTTCTCATTCACGGGCCACCGTATACCGAGTCAGACCACCCAAGCAGCGGCTGGTATCTTGTCGACCAACTTTACAAGCATTGGGACAGCCGATGGTGCAGATGAGCTGAAAGATGTATTTTAATGTTTAATTCTGTCTTAACATGCCAATAATCTTCATGTTGCAGTTTTAGTTGACTGCGCTCGGTCGCTTTAGAGCACTTCCGATATGGTCTCAAGCTAGTTGTGTGTTTGATCAGTTTTACCACGTATAATTGACATGTATTTAAGGTGAGAGATGGTGGTTAATGCACTGCGGTTTGAACCCAGAGACTTGAATTTGATTCCCAGCCATGGCTAACATCAGTGGCGAGTGATATACAGTGAGGGAAAAAAGTATTTGATCCCCTGCTGATTTTGTACGTTTGCCCACTGACAAAGAAATGATCAGTCTATAATTTTAATGGTAGGTTTATTTGAACAGTGAGAGACAGAATAACAACAACAAAATAAAAAAAAACGCATGTCGAAAATGTCATAAATTGATTTGCATTTTAATGAGGGAAATAAGTATTTGACCCCTCTGCAAAACGTGACTTAATACTTGGTGGCAAAACCCTTGTTGGCAATCACAGAGGTCAGACGTTTCTTGTAGTTGGCCACCAGGTTTGCACACATCTCAGGAGGGATTTTGTCCAACTCCTCTTTGCAGATCTTCTCCAAGTCATTAAGGTTTCGAGGCTGACATTTGGAATCTCGAACCTTCAGCTCCCTCCACAGATTTTATGGGATTAAGGTCTGGAGACTGGCTAGGTCACTCCAGGACCTTAATGTGCTTCTTCTTGAGCCACTCCTTTGTTGCCTTGGCCATGTGTCTTGGGTCATTGTCATGCTGGAATACCCATCCACGACCCATTTTCAATGCCCTGGCTGAGGGAAGGAGGTTCTCACCCAAGATTTGACGGTACATGGCCCCGTCCATTGTCCCTTTGATGCGGTGAAGTTGTCCTGTCCCCTTAGCAGAAAAGCACCCCCAAAGCATAATGTTTCCACCTCCATGTTTAACGGTGGGGATGGTGCTCTTGGGGTCATAGGCAGCATTCCTCCTCCTCCAAACACGGCGAGTTGAGTTGATGCCAAAGAGCTCCATTTTGGTCTCATCTGACCACAACACTTTCACCCAGTTGTCCTCTGAATCATTCAGATGTTCATTGGCAAACTTCAGACGGGTATGTATATGTGCTTTCTTGAGCAGGGGGACCTTGTGGGCGCTGCAGGATTTCATTCCACGGCGTAGTGTGTTACCAATTGTTTTCTTGGTGACTATGGTCCCAGCTGCCTTGAGATCATTGACAAGATCCTCCTGTGTAGTTCTGGGCTGATTCCTCACCGTTCTCATGATCATTGCAACTCCACGAGGTGAGATCTTGCATGGAGCCCCAGGCTGAGGGAGATTGACAGTTACTTTGTGTTTCTTCCATTTGCGAATAATCGCACCAACTGTTGTCACCTTCTCACCAAGCTGCTTGGCAATGGTCTTGTAGCCCATTCCAGCCTTGTGTAGGTCTACAATCTTGTCCCTGACATCCTTGGAGAGCTCTTCGGTCTTGGCCACGATGGAGAGTTTGAAATCTGATTGATTGATTGCTTCTGTGGACAGGTGTCTTTTATACAGGTAACGAGCTGAGATTAGGAGCACACTCTTAAAGGGAGTGCTCCAAATCTCAGCTTGTTACCTGTATAAAAGACACCTGGGAGCCAGAAATCTTTCTGATTGAGAGGGGGTCAAATACTTATTTCCCTCATTAAAATGCAAATCAATTTATAACATTTTTGACATGCGTTTTTCTGGATTTATTTTGTTGTTATTCTGTCTCTCACTGTTCAAATAAACCTACCATTAAAATTATAGACTGATCATTTCTTTGTCAGTGGGCAAACGTACAAAATCAGCAGGGGATCAAATATTTTTTTCCCTCACTGTATCATTGTCTATTCCAGTCCCCGGCCCCTCTGCCCTTCACAAACCCGCACCGATCAGCATGGTTAAGTATGGACAAATGTCCCCCTTCTATAAAGGCATAAACATTGAACAAGCGTAACTTTCCCACGATCTTAGACTATGCCCAAGAGTGAAACTATCACCAGATTTTATTATTTTTTCTCAGGTTCTATTTTGGCCTCAGTTCTCTCCTGCAAATGAGAATTGATGGCTGAACGGGCTTTCACCCGCTGATAAAGATAGCCTCTCCACCCACTATTCCGAGGTTTTATTTTTACCTGTGCATTATAAGTAAACGTATTGCATGTTGGCTGAGGCTAGCAACTAGGCATTTCGTGATACATTGATTGAGATCCATCCTGCCACTCCCGATAAAGTCACTGAATTGTATAATAATCAATTAGTTAAGAATCAATTCGTTAATATATGCAAACTACACGCGACTTGTCACATTTGTATGCTTATTCACAGAACGAGACAGAGTAACGAAAAACAACACAAACGAGACATCTAAGCACAGGCCAAATCCAATACATTCTTGAATGCAATCGTGGCCCCTTCAACCGTGACAATTCTTCAAACCACGGGAGGGGGTAAATCATTACAATCGTATTGGATGCAAGCCATACAAACTAAGAGTCTGCCTGGAGAGAATTAGGGCATCGTCGGAACCGCCTCCGAACTCGCACACATCCTCCATCTGTGCTTAACTCGGAGAGGACTCTTGACGTTGACACTGTGACCACCCCCCCATCCCCTACCACTCCCCCCTCCGCACCCCTCCCTCTGTCTCTTTCATTTCCCCCCGCCCCTCCCACCCCCACTGGGAGCACAGGCACCACTTCCAGTGCAATGGAGACAGACGACACGGAGGGGGATGATGACGAAGAGCAGGGCCGCACAATTACCGGTAACACGGAGCTGTGTTGCTTCTTCAGCAGTTTTGTGTCACTCGTTTTGCAAAGACAAAGGTCCCTCCCCCCTGTATAGGCTTAACGCACTTTTGGGGCAAGTGACATCGAGCACCTCCTGAAGACCGGCACGGCACACAAGGGGGTGATTGGCCAACATCACGCCTGGCTGCCTTTGTCTGTCCAGTGGCGATGTTTGCAGGCCACACAAGTTACTCATTTGAGTCTTGCGTCAACCTAGGGGAGATACAGGACCAGTTCAGATAATCGTCACTAGTGTTGGCCATGAGCGGGAATCGAAATCGGGTCTCCAGGTTCGTAGCGCAGCGCGATAACCGCTACGCACACTACTGCTACACACACTCTTTAACGCATATATTACTGCTATACACACTACTGCTACCCACACTCTTTAACGCATACATTACTGCTACACACACTACTGCTACCCACACTCTTTAACGCATACATTACTGCTACACACACTACTGCTACCCACACTCTTTAACGCATACATTACTGCTACACACACTACTGCTACCCACACTCTTTAACGCATACATTACTGCTACACACACTACTGCTACCCACACTCTTTAACGCATACACTACTGCTACACACACTACTGCTACACACACTCTTTAACGCATACACTACTGCTACACACACTACTGCTACCCACACTCTTTAACGCATACACTACTGCTACACACACTACTGCTACACACACTCTTTAACGCATACACTACTGCTACACACACTACTGCTACCCACACTCTTTAACGCATACACTACTGCTACACACACTACTGCTACCCACACTCTTTAACGCATACACTACTGCTACACACACTACTGCTACACACACTCTTTAACGCACACACTACTGCTACACACACTACCGCTACACACACTACTGCTACACACACTCTTTAACGCACACACGCGCACTGTTTCCAATAACTGTTAACAAAGCAAGCTGCTTATTTCGAATAATATTCAGCTGAATGTTTGAGACGAGGGTGGATTGATAGTGCAGTGGTTATTGCACTACGCTATGATCCTGGCGGCCCGAGTTCGATTCCCAGTCACAATTGGCAAACATCATTGGTGATATCTGAATCAATCTGAGATCGATATCAGTCCTTCACCAACCCATATTAACAAGTGCAGAGATGTCTGGTTAAACAAACCCCTTGATAGAAATCCACGGGGAAGCCTTCACCCCCAGTATTGGTTTGATTAAAGGACTGTAAATTAAATAGTATTAGAATAACATTTCACATCCGACTCTTGACATTTATTTTTGGCTGAATATTAACTTTTCTGCACATGTGTATTTGTTTAGTGTTACTGTTAAATGTTTAGTGTTACTGTTAAATGTTTAGTGTTACTGTTAAATGTTTAGTGTTACTGTTAAATGTTTAGTGTTACTGTTAAATGTTTAGTGTTACTGTTAAATGTTTAGTGTTACTGTTAAATGTTTAGTGTTACTGTTAAATGTTTAGTGTTACTGTTAAATGTTTAGTGTTACTGTTAAATGTTTAGTGTTACTGTTAAATGTTTAGTGTTACTGTTAAATGTTTAGTGTTACTGTTAAATGTTTAGTGTTACTGTTAAATGTTTAGTGTTACTGTTAAATGTTTAGTGTTACTGTTAAATGTTTAGTGTTACTGTTAAATGTTTAGTGTTACTGTTAAATGTTTAGTGTTACTGTTAAATGTTTAGTGTTACTGTTAAATGTTTAGTGTTACTGTTAAATGTTTAGTGTTACTGTTAAATGTTTAGTGTTACTGTTAAATGTTTAGTGTTACTGTTAAATGTTTAGTGTTACTGTTAAATGTTTAGTGTTACTGTTAAATGTTTAGTGTTACTGTTAAATGTTTAGTGTTACTGTTAAATGTTTAGTGTTACTGTTAAATGTTTAGTGTTACTGTTAAATGTTTAGTGTTACTGTTAAATGTTTAGTGTTACTGTTAAATGTTTAGTGTTACTGTTAAATGTTTAGTGTTACTGTTAAATGTTTAGTGTTACTGTTAAATGTTTAGTGTTACTGTTAAATGTTTAGTGTTACTGTTAAATGTTTAGTGTTACTGTTAAATGTTTAGTGTTACTGTTAAATGTTTAGTGTTACTGTTAAATGTTTAGTGTTACTGTTAAATGTTTAGTGTTACTGTTAAATGTTTAGTGTTACTGTTAAATGTTTAGTGTTACTGTTAAATGTTTAGTGTTACTGTTAAATGTTTAGTGTTACTGTTAAATGTTTAGTGTTACTGTTAAATGTTTAGTGTTACTGTTAAATGTTTAGTGTTACTGTTAAATGTTTAGTGTTACTGTTAAATGAGTAAATCGTCATCCATGTTCTTCCCATGGAGGTCTTCTGCTTGGTTTTTATTTGCCCCCCTCCCCCCACTCCCGCTGCTGGTGATGAAACCACCACCACCACCATCATCACACCTGTGAGACACGTGCTGTTCACGCCTGTGAGACACGTGCTGTTCACACCTGTGAGACACGTGCTGTTCACGCCTGTGAGACACGCGCTGTTCACGCCTGTGAGACACGTGCTGTTCACACCTGTGAGACACGTGCTGTTCGCGCCTGTGAGACACGTGCTGTTCGCGCCTGTGAGACACGTGCTGTTCACGCCTGTGAGACACGTGCTGTTCACACCTGTGAGACACGTGCTGTTCGCGCCTGTGAGACACGTGCTGTTCGCGCCTGTGAGACACGTGCTGTTCACGCCTGTGAGACACGTGCTGTTCACACCTGTGAGACACGTGCTGTTCACGGCTGTGAGACACGTGCTGTTCGTGCCTGTGAGACACGTGCTGTTCGTGCCTGTGAGACACGTGCTGTTCACGCCTGTGAGACACGTGCTGTTCACACCTGTGAGACACGTGCTGTTCACACCTGTGAGACACGTGCTGTTCACGCCTGTGAGACACGTGCTGTTCGCGCCTGTGAGACACGTGCTGTTCACGCCTGTGAGACACGTGCTGTTCGCGCCTGTGAGACACGTGCTGTTCACGCCTGTGAGACACGTGCTGTTCACGCCTGTGAGACACGTGCTGTTCGCGCCTGTGAGACACGTGCTGTTCGCGCCTGTGAGACACGTGCTGTTCACGCCTGTGAGACACGTGCTGTTCGCGCCTGTGAGACACGTGCTGTTCACGCCTGTGAGACACGTGCTGTTCACGGCTGTGAGACACGTGCTGTTCGTGCCTGTGAGACACGTGCTGTTCGTGCCTGTGAGACACGTGCTGTTCACGCCTGTGAGACACGTGCTGTTCACACCTGTGAGACACGTGCTGTTCACGCCTGTGAGACACGTGCTGTTCACGCCTGTGAGACACGTGCTGTTCACGCCTGTGAGACACATGCTGTTCGCGCCTGTGAGACACGTGCTGTTCGTGCCTGTGAGACACGTGCTGTTCACACCTGTGAGACACGTGCTGTTCACGCCTGTGAGACACGTGCTGTTCGCGCCTGTGAGACACGCGCTGTTCACGCCTGTGAGACACGTGCTGTTCACGCCTGCGAGACACGTGCTGTTCACGCCTGCGAGACACGTGCTGTTCACGCCTGCGAGACACGTGCTGTTCACGCCTGCGAGACACGTGCTGTTCACGCCTGCGAGACACGTGCTGTTCACGCCTGTGAGACACGTGCTGTTCACGCCTGTGAGACACGTGCTGTTCACGCCTGTGAGACACGTGCTGTTCACACCTGTGAGACACGTGCTGTTCACACCTGTGAGACACGTGCTGTTCACGCCTGTGAGACACGTGCTGTTCGCGCCTGTGAGACACGTGCTGTTCACGCCTGTGAGACACGTGCTGTTCACGCCTGTGAGACACGTGCTGTTCACGCCTGTGAGACACGTGCTGTTCACGCCTGTGAGACACGTGCTGTTCGCGCCTGTGAGACACGTGCTGTTCGCGCCTGTGAGACACGTGCTGTTCGCGCCTGTGAGACACGTGCTGTTCACGCCTGTGAGACACGTGCTGTTCACGCCTGTGAGACACGTGCTGTTCACACCTGTGAGACACGTGCTGTTCACACCTGTGAGACACGTGCTGTTCGCGCCTGTGAGACACGTGCTGTTCGCGCCTGTGAGACACGTGCTGTTCACACCTGTGAGACACGTGCTGTTCGTGCCTGTGAGACACGTGCTGTTCGTGCCTGTGAGACACGTGCTGTTCACGCCTGTGAGACACGTGCTGTTCGCGCCTGTGAGACACGTGCTGTTCAAACAGCACGTGTCTCACAGGCGTGCTGTTCAAACAGCACACGTGTTGCATGCGTGCTGTTCAAACAGCACACGTGTTGCACGCGTGCTGTTTGAACAGCCCTGCAATGTGACACTTACATCTGCAGTGTCCCCCCCCCACCCCCCCCAGCAAAGTGGTAATTTCGGCATGAACACAAATAAAACTTAAGCAGCATGTTCTCAAGACTGCTATTTTCTACGTATATTTGTATATTTCCCAAAAGTTATATTTCCTCGATGTAATATAAATGTAATTACTACTTTTTTGCTCTTTATAAGTGGCGTAGCGTGGTTGGCATGTGCCCCGGCGCAAGTCGTGAAATGGGGGGCCCCCTATCCAATTTTTCCCTGGACCCCCTCCTGGCCTACGCATCGCGGTGCAGTTTCATTGCCTGCGCGCTCGTAAGCTATGCCGCTGCTGTAGGGTTAGCACATGGAGGCTTCATACCAATACACATAATGTGACAATCCACCGAGCACCTGTCACATTATGCACGTTTGGTATGAATGCTATGCAAGCGTATCCTGTGACAGTGGTGTAGCGGTTAGGTGTGCTGGCAGCTGAGAGATGGCTGCGACTTGAGGAGGCCTTCATCCAGCAGTGGATTGTCCGTTTCCTCCCCTCCTTTGTAGCCTGGGACCTGAGTCCCTTCCGGCGCGTGGGCCCCGGTGCAGTTGCACCGCCTGTACGCTCGATAGCTACGCCACTGATGCTTCTGATTTTGAGACCGCAAACACGGTTGTTTGATAAATACATGCGCTTAAAAACCCCACTAACCTAATATCTGTTTCATGCAACGTTGGAATAGAAAGGACTCGAACAGCACAGTAGACTTAAAATGAACCACCACTCGTTGTTTTTGTTGCCTTCTCTTTCCATCTCATCCCTCAGTCACCGGGCAGCGTTTGGGGCCGGGCAGCGGTGACGGCAGCTGGCGCGACGCCGCAGCCGCGCGTTCCCCACCGCCGTGGAGCCTCGCTCACGTCACAACGACTCCGCGAGTGCCCGCGGGCCGCGGCGCGACGGGGGACTCCGACGCCGGTGATCCCGGCAGCAGCGTCAATCGCAGGGGCGGCAAGAACTTCGGCGGCGGGCCAACCGGCTCCGAGTCAAACTCCCCCAAACCCACCGCGCAGGATGGGGCAGATGTTCTGGAAAACGGAGAGGATAACTCCGACTCGCAGGGCAAGGAGAAGGACTCGGAGCAGGCGCTCCGCAGCCTGGACTGGTTTCTGATCCCCGTGATCGCGCTGAGCGGCACAGGCGTGGCGCTCGGTGCCATATTCGCGACGGCGCTGCTTTGCCGCTCGCGTCGTAACTGCTGCCCCTTCTGCTGTGGAGGCGGGCGAGCACGGGGGCACCCGGCCCAGGCGGGGCCCGCCTCGTCCAACGGCAGAGCCAGCGGGCGCTGTCGCCCCAACCAGTACGTCGTGCACAAGAGCAGCGTCGTGTCGCGGACTGCCTCCTCGGCCTCCTCCTCCATCGTGTGAAGGCGCGCCGCCCGCACCCGCGAGTCACGGAGGGGCATGGCCTACCGGGGATGGCCCGTCGTCGCAGCGTTACCCTTGGACTCGTGCACGTCGTGGATCTCCGCATCGCAGCAGTCCGCGGTAGATGCCCGTTATTTAACTATCAAACGCGTTGAAGACGAAGAGCATGACTGGCAGCAACGGAACTTGAACCGTATGGGAAAGGAACGTTGAAGCTTTATCTCGTCACACATTGCAACTTCCTGCCGATGCTGTTTGCGTGGGTAATGGAAACGCGACAAAGACACGTTTCACGCGGAAGAACTTCAAAGCAGGATCTTCTTGCAGTTTTTTTGTCGCAGCGTGAAACGTATGCAGGGGTTTTAAGCTTTTACGTTTTAAGCTTTTACTCATCTTCCTTTGAGATATTTCTCTGCCTCTTGTGCTGATATCAAATGACTTGAACCCCACTGCCTGCCTGAGGCTAATGGAAATAGAGGAACCACTTCATGTAAGGGGGACTCGATGAGATCAACACATTGCCACTGGCCACATCACACAAATGTGTAGTTTTGCCAGTGCAGCTTTTGTATTGGAGTATTTAAACACGAAGGGGATAAATTAAATAATGTTACACCTCCATTGCTGTGCAACAATGGAGTGAAATTGGAGGGCAAGTGTGAACGCAGCATCTTAAATCAAGAGCTTGTCGGAGGATGCCTGTAAAAGAGGCACACTTGCAGTCTTAATCTTCTGCCAGCACACCTGAGGCACCAGTGTCGATAGACGCGGTCAGGTTTCCGGGACCTCGCATGCCAGCGGGTACAGTGCTGAGAATTGGAGTTTCTGGGGCGGGTGGCCCCTTGAGAGACAGTGAACTGCACTCCATCTCACATTCTGGATGTCTCCCGAAAAGCTCGTGAGCCAAAACCAAAAAACTCTCTCGGCAGCAGCACGAGGGTTTTCTTTCCGCCGTGGAAACTTTTCCTGCTTTCCTGCCTGAGTCTGTGCGTGTGAGCGAGCGGCTATAGAGCAGCAAATGCATATTTCATTTGACACAGCGGCAAGCGTCTCCATCCAGCACGCCTCCTCTTATTCTTTGCTTCTGCTCCGGCTTGCTCTTGCTGAGTCGCGTGATCAAGCCAGCCACAAGGGCTAGAGGCTTAGTACCACAGTGAGGGCCCTGCCCATCAAGCATCTGCAGAGGCAAAGCACGGTGGTGTGGAGTTTAATGAGCAGAGTATGTGTCAAGATTTATTTCTGCATGAAGATTGTAGAAGTTCACGAGGCATGCATCTCTGCCACAGAGCCAAATCAGGATCTGCTTTGTAAAATTGGTCGGAATGCATTTTTTTAATATACCACGTTTTTAGGGCTGTTTGGTTTGTTTTAATGTTTTGTCCAAATAAACCAGCACACTTTTGTGTCACACCACCAAAATACAATCCATTCCACCCTTTTTAAGCCCCCAGCCAATTTCAGAAATGTTCCAATACTCCACTGAGCATCACGGTTTTCAACATTGCTTAAATTCTCCGCTTACCATATGAACAACTCTGCACATTGCAAGCAGGGTAATGAGCTGTGTTTTCTTGCCAGTAATGTGAGTCAAATTGCCAATCTTCCCTTTTGTTTTGTTTAAAATGCACTTTTTGAATGTTATTTTTTTCAGGATTTTGAAAATCCACAAGAAAAAACTGACCCGCCAGTGATTGGAGATCATACAACCCAAGTGCAAAATATATCCCGAATTATTACTTAAAACGTATGGTCATAGTGGCAGTTTTTGTATAATAATGATATTTTTTAAACCGTTTTTGTTATGTGCATTGATATTTTTAATAAAGTTGGCTGGGACAGCGTAGGCGTGTTTATATATTTACATGGGAGCATTTTGGACGGCATGAAGTAGATTCTGGAAGATCGTCGGCAGTGGGGAGGTGATTTGATTTGCGTGACACAGCTTGCAATTTGGGTCATGGCTGGTCAGTCCACCAGTGGGGGTGGTTTTCCAGCATTGACCTTTCGGCCCAGTTCTTGAGGCTCACCCGTTGGGACTGTACGTATTATCCAGCAGGCTTCTCGCTTGGCCTTTAAGACCGGGCGTCAATTGACAAGTGACTTAGGCCTTATAAATAGATTGTGCACGTCTGTTAATTGGCAGACGAGGAAAGCTGAGCTCCCGGTGGGAGGCACAAGAACTGAAGTTGAACTGCTGACCTCACAGCGCGGGAAGGCCGGGAACGCAAGCCAAAGTCGTTACCCTCCGCGTGCCCCAATCTGGAAACGGCCATCATGCTGGAAGAGAAATTCCGAGGGAAGGAAGGGCACCCCACCACTACATCCCACCGCCACCTCCTTTCCCCAGCTCCCCACTAATCTCCTCCCTCCGCTACTTCAGCCATCAACGCTGCCCCTTGCTTTCCCCTGACACTCCCTCTACCTCCCTGCACCACCACCCCCCCCCCCCCCAACTCTACATGAAATCCACGTTGGCTGCACTTACGTGAAACATTTACAGAGGAATTTAAGTTGAGTTGCCAATTTTCTGCTTCGTGAACGGGCGTCTTTGTTGCCGTCACGGCATTTGTTTTTGTTTTCGCTTTCTTTTGAAATTGGTACCATAATATTTGGGGTTTAACAGCAATGTGAGGAAGACAATCAGCGTGTTTGTATATGTATATAGTACATACACACTGCCAAAGCTACAAATCATTCAATATGAGCTTCCCCAAGTTTCACTAGAAATTCCCAAGGCTCACAGAATAATCTTAAGACCGCACGCCTATTGCAACGCAATAGAAGCAATCATTTCTAGATTTAAAGCTTTCGTGACTGCAAGGATCCATACATAATCATCATGATCAGCACCAGCAGCAGCCATGATCAATCCACTGTTGGATGAAGGGCTCCCCAGGCCTCTCACCATCTCTCATGGTACTCCATTACAACAAACGCCAAAACTTGCGCAAAGAATCGTGCTTCAAGATGTATACACCGATGTAAATTTTAAAATATAAGTGAAATTGTAATCTTAATGAATTCCCTAATATGTGTGTTTGTTTTGGAGGTCGGCTACTTTTAGAATCCCCTTTTCTCTAAGGCCGACGATGCCAATGTGTGTGTTTTTGAGATACGGTTGTTATGTAGGCTTCCTTATGCTGAGTGCTTCCTAAACACTTAAGTGCATTAAATGGGCTTTTAGGGCGACACCACGGGATGCGAGAGAGGCACGCATTCTGTCCCTCACGGCCAAAGCCTTCTGTTCGGAGTTTCCCGTTACATCCACGCCAGATAGAGCCGTCATTGAAGCGAATGAAGTGCAAATGTAACAAACAAAATGCCCACATTGTAATTAGCAGACACAGTAAATAATGATGACCTTTATGCAGGAAAAACCGCATTGAATCTCAAGGCTCTTTTTTTTTTAAGGAGAGGTTCCTGCATTGGCCAATTTTTTCGGATGCATTTCATGCGCGTTGGGCATGTGAAAGGAAAGTGGACGACCTGGAGAAAAACCTCGCACATGAGGGGGTAAATGCAGAGAACGCCCCCCAAAAAAATATGAATTCCAGAAGCCATTTCTGACAGCCATTTCCCAGCCACCTCGGGCAGAAGACACCACTTTCTCCAGAAATTGGACTCGTCGGCCTCACAAATCCAATACGTACACGTGAATTAGCAAAAAAAACCCGCTTCCGCGTATCTGCGACGTTAAATTTCCCCTTGCTGCATTTTGCAAGCCGCTTGCTCCCCATTGTTACCGAGGTCCTCGGGGCAGCGCTAAGTGCACTCCTCGGCCGTGGGGAGGCCCTCGCAGCGTGTCGAACAATGGCAGGAAGCCACGATGCCCCCTAGGAGCTCCCCCTCCTCGCCTCCCGAGAGAAGTAGAAACCTACTGGGTGGGGTGACCTTGTTCTCTCCCACCGTCCCCCCCCTACCCCTCGGACATATTGTTTAAAAATCAATTTCCCATGAAATCCTATCTGGAGTTACGCACATTCAGATTGCTTGCGGTGCGTCACACGACGCGTTAAAGACATTGACCTGGTGGGATGGACGTGGACTTTGTGTGTGTGTGTGTGCACTTGGGGAAACAAAAGATCGGGCACCTGCGGAAGGGTTGTAGGAAAACTGGTTGGGACACAGAGGGCCAAGTGTTTAACACGTGGATATTTCATCATTGTCATCCTCATTGCGATGCCAAGAATAATGATTTGCAATGGATTTGGCCCAGAGACCCCTCTCAGCTCAGTGCAGTGGCAATGAATATGGTGGAGCGGGGGGGGGGGGGAATGGTCTTTTAACTACCACCCTAACAAATACAGCAACTTCACACATTTACAATGGCTTTTGTGAAACTTTTTAAGTCGTTCAATGTGTTTGTTATGTGTTCAGTAATACTGGTAGGAACGAAGTTGTAAACTGAGTGTACCAGCCTGCAATAGATTAATGTGTCCGTCCGTCCGTCCCCTTTCAATACTTTAACGAAGTGAAATCTCGTGCTGTTGGGGTGTAAAAATAAAATTGCGCAAAATTCCAATGTTCCTACCAGCCCACCCTGCAGGGACCTGTTAATTTGTCCTCGGGAGCACTACACCTCAACTGCTATGTACGTTTTCATTTAACATAACATCCGTTGAGGCGCATGCATTGGTAATGACTCGTAGGTATTGCAATGGATGAAGCTGTGCTGTGCATTTTTTTTAATTAGAGACAAATGTGTGATTTCTGCAGCAAACTTTGGTAATTAAAGTTGGGGCAGTTCACGCAGAACTTTCCCTTCGTGTTGCGTGGGACTTCGAAAACAAATTAAACTCCTTTAAAAAAAGTGTTTTTTTTTAAACAACGGTTTTATTCACAACTTCGTTTAAGTCACGGTCGAGAAGCACGTCAATGATGCGGCGCCTGCTCCCACATCAACGCTTACTTTAATTAATTGGTTATTTTATAAATGAATCTCCAATTGTGGAAGTGAGGGTGCCCCTAACTCGTTGACACGGAGCAGGCGCGCCTGAGACACGTGGCGCCTGCTTCTTGGGCGGGGCGATTCCAGAGTTTAGGGACCGCGGCGTTTTTGACGTACACAAAAATATATAATTAATAAGACGTCCATACTAAAAATTAAATTGATTTAAACGAGCGAATTAATCGATTAATTTATGCCAATTTTGATACAGGCATGCATTGTCACCGGATCTGAGTACGTTTGCAAAATTTGGAATTGATTGCACAACAGGAAGTCGACTAATTTTTTATTGCAAGATTTGACCACGACAAACACAGGAGTCAAGTTAAGTAAAATCGTTGAAAAACTGTTGGCTAAAGGATATTTAACGCCAGACACTGATTAAAGTCTTCACGCGATCAACAAACATGCGTTTTCAACGGTTTTATTTAACTTGACTCCTGTGTTTGTCGTGGTCAAATCTTACAATAAAAATGTAGTCTACTTCCCGTCGTCCAATCAATTCCAAATTTTGCACGCGTACTCAGATCCGGTGACAATGCATGCCTGTATCAAAATCGGCATCAATTAATCAACCAATTGGCTGTTTTAAAGCAATTAAAATGTTGTGTGGACGGCGTATTAATTAAATATTTATTTGGTTTAGCTCAAAAACGCCGCGGTCCCTAAGCTCTGGAATCGCCTCGCCCAAGAAGCAGGCGCCAAGCGTTGATGTGTGAGCAGCCGCCGCCGCCGCATCTATCGCGTGCTTGACGACGGTGAGTCAAACGAAGTTGTGAAACAAAAACGTTCTTAAACTTATTATTTTTAATATATATTTTATTATTTTATTGTTTCCCTTCAACGTGACTTTACCGAAAGAGCTAGGAATATTCTTAAACTTCGTTCCTTCTGTTTGTATGTCGTGGCCAAATCTTGTAATCAAGATGTCGTTCACTTCCCGTTGTCCAATCGACTTGTTTACTTTTTAGTGCACTTTAAAATAAAACCGTTGTTTAAAAAAAACACATTTTAAAGGAGTTGATTTATCATATACGGCAACGTAGCTTCATTACATCGACTTAATTTGCATTTATGCGTAACAGCGTGCTCCGCTATTCAGTCAGTCGCTTGAGTTTACTCAGTGTACGAATCTCGACTTGAAAATTTTCGTGACTGCAGACGATCCATACTCTTTGGTTCTTTCGGTAAAGTCACCGTAGGTATAAAATGAACACCAATTAAATCACGACGTTTCGGGACGCAACGCACAAGCGTCCGTCACCATTGCCCGCTTCGGCAGTTGTTTCTTGCTCTGGTTGTCCCACCTGATGACGGACGCTTGCGTGTTGCGTCCTGAAACGTCGTGATTTTATTTATTATATTTCATTGTCTCATGACCTCCGACCACGTGGCTCGCGTTGCCAGCTGCGGCACGTGGGTTGCGCGTGGATGCGAGGCCGGTCGGGGCCGTCTGCTTCGTGCGAGCTGCTCGCTTCGATTGGCTCCCACGGGAGAGCCCTCCTACGCCAAAGTCCCCTCGGTTGCATTGGGGCTTGGCCGCTTTAAGATTTGTCTGCAACTTCTGTGCCTCCATAGACTTGCTTTGAGATCCATGGACTTTGCATAGGCACCCATAGACGTACTTCCTACGATGCTATGCGTCCCAAACAATACATGGGGTTGGCTGCTCGGATTGGATTTTCTCCACGTGCATTGATTCTGTGCCCCCTCTCGTCACATCCGCTGTCTTCATCTCATGTCACCGCATCCTTCTGTCTTACCCGTCCGTCTGCGTCCACTCATTCTGTCACGTGGTGCAAGCAATGCGCTAAGATTTCATTGCGACGTGGTTTCAGTTCACGGCCAGGCATATGACCATTTCCGTGGTAATTGACATATAGATCCCTTTAG